AGAAAGAAATCCTTTCTCCAAAGAGTTGTGAGAGGAAATGGTTGTCGACATGAGTATTTTTTGTTGTTTTAAATGTAATTCGAATGACTGACTGAGGGATTCTCTTCAGGACCAAGGACAGTGTCAACACTATTTTCACTGTGTCAGCTGGTTTATAACAGACTGTTATTGGAGTTTTAAAATGGGTACCTGGATTATCCACAAAAAGGACTGAAACAAGGTGCCCGTTCTCATATTGATGGACCTAATGAAGTGTTCCTCTACTGTAATCTATATATAATCTGTTTTTCCCCAGGCAGTAGTGATTGGTTTCCATATTTGAATGTCACATTACAGCTGCTCATGATTGTCTCCCTCGTCCCTCTGTTCTTTGTCCCTGATGCTTTTTGTTGTTTTAACAAGATTGTCAGCAAACGTCATTTTAAATGCCGCAATCTGTTAAACTACGACACCGTTTTCTGCTTCATGTGTTGCAGTAGCTTTTAAGATGCCCTTTTAACTGGGGGATATTTCGGGGGTACGTAAATGGGTACGTGAAACGGGATTAAACGCGGTTAACGTTGGCTGTGAAGCTCCCTGGTCTGCAGAGCGAAGGCGGTGAAGCTCCGCTGCAGCCCGTGACGCTGATGACCTACTTTTCCACTCACTCAAGGCGAAAAAAACATATTGTACTGAATTCAGCGACGAAAGAATTCCTCCATCGTTTCCCACCTCGCTTTGGAAAAGGGCTTGTGTGGTTTTGTAGTGGGAGGGAGCCGGCTGCCTGCCTGAAACACCGGCGCTATCGCCGTTAGTTCATAGACCCCACTAGCATGCAGTGATGCAGTCAGCTCATTTAAGTCCTTGTCCCCTGAAAATGTGGAATATTAAGTCTGCTGAGAAAAGGCAATGGACTAGAACCAAGCCTCCGTCACACATAAGTGTCTTACTCTCTCACACGCGCAGAGAGAATCAAAGCTTAATCCACCTACACAGACCGACGCAGAGGCTGAACCTAATCAACTAGTAAAGTAAATGCTCTGCTAAAAGTGTCACCTGAATAATTGATGTATGTAAATCATCTATTGTTGTCACACGCACAGAGCGCGGTGAAAATAAGCCTCTGCGTTGAACCCGTCGAAGGCACCTCTTCAGCGGCCAGCACGTCATCCGACTGCAGCAACCGCCCCGAGCGCCGGGGCCTCGACTCGACGTGGCGACTCTCCAGCTCCCTTTCGCTGCTCGTTCTACAGGCCATGCTGTGTATTGTGTGTTGTGCGCGTCGCGCCCCCCCACCCCCCTGCTCCGCTCTCACATGGTAGTTACAGCCTCGCCAAGAAAACGTAGCACCCACACTGCGTCTCCACCCCCCCCCCCCCCCCCCTACAGGTTTGGACGTTTGGGAATTTTTTCTGGTCAGCAGTCACAATGTTGTGAGCCATCAAAAGCTGCGAGCGACATGCTCCCAAACCATTGAACGGCCTCCTTAGATGCTCCGTGTGTTTGAAATTTCTCATTTTTGTCTCACCTTTCACGTCACATAGACCTTATTGATGTATCGATTGACAATCGAGGAGCTGCACATCCTGCTCAACTATGACGATGGGGAATCACAATGTTCACACTAATTCATTGAACGCGACCCGTCATAAGAGCAGAAGGTTTTCTTTTCTACAGCAGGTGTCTATAGATACACTTGATTATGGCTCAGGAGGAAAACTACCTGCAAATGTATTCACTCGCGTCAGTCCGCTCCCTCAGCAAACCTCGTGACGGGGCTTTAAATAGCCACCGCTTCGTGGTTTGTGTAGCCTGCTCGGTGTCATCAACGCCCAGAGGAGGTTGACCTTTCTAAATGGCTGTAGGGGCTCGTTGGATGAAGAGTTGTGACGCCAACAGCGAGCGAAGGAGGAACGGTGCCCCAGCCAGTGAGTCATTCTCTCGTGGCGGTCGGGTAAACAATAGGCGGCATATGCTGAAACATGTGACACGTCACAGAAGAAAGGCCACGGCAGAGCTGTGAAAGCGTCTTTGTGATTACAGGCCTCCCAAGGAGGATGTTGAAATGCATTTCTGACGTTGCCTGTGTGAGATGTTTCTGCCCTTCAGCTGCAGTAAGTTTCTTCCAGTGGTTGAGATGATCTATTTTATGGCTATAGGGAGGCTAACGTTGGTCACTTGGTCCACCCTTATGGCTCAAACTGGTTACACTATTCCAGCGATTGCGATTTTCCCCCCGAGAAGATGAAGAATTAAACGCTAGTAGCATTTGTCACGATCAGAGAGAAATCGGCTAACTTTTCTTGGACAAGTCAAGAGTTTTACATGCTAAACAAAGATAAAACCTGTTGGGATTGTCACTGTATAAAGCTGCTATCATAAATTCGATAGTGGTAATATAATACAAATAGTAATATGTTAGTCTTTAATAATGAAGGGTTGTGCTTTTGCAAACGGTTGCAACTCGAACAGACTAAATAAAATTGGAGTTTTAGAATTTTTATTTTATTGTGTACTTGGTGTGGGATTTTTTTTGAAGTGACTCAGAAGGCAAAAGCAAAACCAGTGATGCCTGCTGCTGCTCACTGCTTTTCAGCGTGAACTTCAACGTTACTCATGCAATCTCATTTTTCAATTTGCTAATAGTTGTTGAACTCCCAGCTGAACTGTATTTATGTAAAACCCGACGGGTAACCTTTTATGAATATTGATGAATTCACATGTTCGTCTTTGTCCTCATCCCACCACCTTTTCTCTTACTCTCTCTCTCTGTCCCTCAGACTCTCGCTTTCTCTGCATCGTCACCCTCCCCCTCCAAATCTGCCTCATTTGTCATTCTTGTCCACCTTCACCGTCAACACTTACTCTCGGCCTTAACTGCCTTTTAATTATAGTCTTTTCTCTTCTCAAGCTTTGCTCCTTAAGTTGCAGTGACCTCAGATCGGTTTTCATTTACTGCTTTCAGCCAGGAAGGGTTCATTTGAATGGAAAAACAGGATATTTTCCGTTTAATTAAGTAGCTTTGCTATGGGAGTTTTCTGTCAGAAAACCCTGAAGGGAACTTCTCTGGTGTGCACGTCTGCCCCATTGTTGCTAACTGGAATAATCTCATCTTCAGGGAATGTCTTCCACAAAGGTCAAACGAATATCAACTTTAGTTTAAAGACTATTCGAATATGTGTGTGTCAATGTTCAAGGTCCCGATTTACTGCCCGTGTTCACAACTGAAATGTAGATGTGCGGACCGGACAGGTGATTGACCTCATCTGCCGTGAGATTCTCTGCCAGCGATGCCAGTGGGCGTGTGAGAGTACTGCGTGCGTTTATCCATGTTTACCCTTAAATCGCGTCCCCAGTGCTGCGTGCCGTGGCGCCGGCTGAAAACCAATTAAGGAGCCTGTATGAATAGTGGCGTAAAGAAGCCATCGGCTTCTCCTCCAGGAGAGTGATTCTGGTTCCGTCTACAACGACACTAAAAAGACGTCCCCCTGCCAGCGCAGCGCACACAGCGACCTGTAATCCCATTCAGACCTCCGCTCTGGAGGTAGGGTATGAATTCCAAAATACAAAATCTACAGACGGGAATAGGACTCTTCTCGTCATCCATTTGTATACATACCAGACCATAAGTACATAATCTGTACTTGTGGTCCAAGGACCGCGTCACGGAGCTGCTGGCGTGCCGTAAACAGTCTACTCGGTCCACTCGGTACATATGATGGTCACAAGCCTTATTAAAAATGTTAGTTTTTGTGTTAATGAGATGCAGAGGCTTTTTTTATTTATCTGACTGCCAAATAGAATTGTTCCCCAAAAGAAATGTTGGACTCCACTATTTCACTGTAATACAGAATAAGCAAGATGATTCATATTGTGAAGTGTGATGATTCATGTTGTCTATTTTTATCGTGATTTATGACCAATCCCACCCGGGAGATTAATTCAACCACTGTTTACTTCCCTCTGGCTGCTGGAACAAAGAAACCTGATGCTCTGAAAACCAAAAGTTAGTTCACAAGTTTTCCCCATGAGCATGAAATATTAATGGATGACTTATTTTCATGTGTTTATCCATAGAGACTAATACCACAAACTACCTTTTTATTCTATAACAGGATATTTTTTGAAGGAATTCCTATAAATTTGATTCTGTTTTTTGCTTTTTGTAAATTTATTACACGTTAGAAAAGTAAACTCTGAGTCTTAGAGACTTGCCCAGTGATACAGAATTGGGTGGTTAATGAATAGAAACATACGCCCAGTTAGATGAATCTTGATTTTCTTTAAGAAAGAGTTAGTTTCTACCTCCAGGATTCACTCCGGTATGTTGGGTCAAAAAATGAGCGTCTGCTCATGAGACTGCAGACATGACGCGGCTTCCCCACCTCTCCCTTTCCCCTGCGTGGGCGTGATGAGTGTTGACAGCCGGCTGGTGCCTCTGGCTGCGTCGGCCCTGATGTTTGTTGGCAGGACTCGGTCAGCTGGTGTCAAAGGACAGCGAAGGGTGGTGTGGTCTTAAAAGCAAGAGAGACGTGTCAAAAAGTCTGGTTTATTCATTTTAACAATTGTTTATTACTTGTGATTGTTTATTAGGTTTATTCACAAAAAATCCAAACAGTTTTTGTACTTTGCTTCTCTGCAACCTGGTACAACAAATTTTTCTTGACCGTCTAATTCATTTTTCATCTTCATGAATCTTTTATTTTATTTTCGGTTCACAGAACTTGGACTTCCCTTGGCCCTTTAGGTCTTCGTCATATCAATATGTAATTCTATGATTTTTCTGTTTTCTGAAAAAAAACTTCTATTTTTTATTAACCATCTCTGTTGAATTAAACTGGGTAATTTATTATGGAGATCTGTACACACAGCGGATTAGATGCAAAGTTAGTGGCTTGTCAGAACTGTCGCACTGATGTTCGTAAAGCAGAAACGGCTGAAGCCAAAGTTCAACGGGAGAAGACCACAGCAACCGGCCAAAGGTGCTTCTTTGTAATAGAAATCTTTTAATGTTCCACCAGGTGCTGGAGAATCCGGGAAGAGCACGATCGTTAAGCAGATGAAGTAAGTTACAAAAGCAATCTTTTATCTTTCTATTTAGGCCTCCCGATAAACCCAGAGATGGAAGTGTTTCCATTGTGAATACCGACGAGAGTGATGGAACCATTGTGTGTCTCACACAATACAGCACAAAGCGTACACCTGATGAGTCTCTGCTCCCTGGAAAAGCTGTGGTATCTAACTAATCGTATCCTCTGCATTCGGCCTAGACACTGACAAGACAACCTAATTTTACATACAGTGAACAGGACTTTCTCCAGCCTTGCCTCTCGTTTGTTGCGGTCTTTTTCTTGTCACAGCACAATAATCGTTTGATGAATTTATCAACACAGAGGACCTTGTAATGTCTGTGCACCAGAACACGCACACAGATACACATTTATACCAACACACACACACAGACATGCACACAGAGGACCCTAAATTACTTAATAATTCACATTCCTCTTGGCTAGCACGGTATTAAATACATTTTTTATAAGCTTGGAGCAAGCAGTCTGTCGCTTTTTGAAGCCACGGGGCCGCTAACGCACACAGGCATACAGAGAAATCAGCCTGCAAATACAAAAACACTGACCTGTTAGCCAATATCACACATCGATGTAACCTGTGTCAACCGAACCGTCCATAGTCATTTGCTATAGCACAAAAGCTGCAGTGAGTCTTACTACAGAATTATTGATGTAGCCCGATGACTGCTGGATGGCTGCATCTCATGATGCGTTGCACAGACACTTTAGTTCCCTCACAAACATTTTGCATCGACACTGCGCAGTTGAATTCGCTTTACCGTGTGGGAACGGTGCTGCTCTGCATCGTCCTACACAGCATGCTGATAATTGAGAAAAAGCCTCTTGTCAGCATCAAAATGCTGTGGCTGTTCGTGCATTACTTGATTCATGACGGTTGTGGTTTTTCTATGTTCAGCTTAAGCATTCTTGCATTTAGGAATGTTGCTGACTCATACTAAAAATGACTACTAACTTATCGGCATACTATTTTTAGCATTTTAAAACCGATACAATAATTATTGAATTTTTTTATGTTACCAATGGATCAAATGTCTACACGTCTGCCTGCGGCTGCTCCAAGCAACGACTCGATAACGATTACACCAGTGTTTACAATCAGAAACTGGATTGTCTTGAACAAAACCGTGACCACGCGGTTTAACGTGCACTTTATTAAATGTTGCATGTGTTTTTGTTTTTTCACTCTCAGGATCATCCATGAAGATGGCTACTCAGAAGATGAGTGCAAGCAGTACCGAGCAGTGGTTTTCAGTAATACCATCCAGTCTATTATGGCCATCGTTAAAGCCATGGCCACTCTCAAGATCGACTACAGCAGCCCTGCAAGATTGGTAAGACGCATACGTATAATAAAAAGTGAACCTATTTTTTATTATTTCTGCATATCTTTTATAAGGGTAGGAGCAGAAAGCTGACTGGCCGAAAAGGACAATCTGCATTGTGTGAGAATGCAGAATCTGCTTCACTAACCTTGTACAGATCAGGATCTCCTAACAACACACAGCCTGTTTTCATGGGTGTGCCGTTCTTTCCACTAACACCCTGTGTCCCTTTCCCCGCTCTCTGCTATTCTTACTCGATGACACTCAACTCCAATATCCATGTTATTGACAGGAGTAAGATGTTCCAGGCCAAATGTTTCATCGCAGGATTCCCTACATTCATCTGATCATGATAGATTCTTTTTAGCTAGAAAAATAAGTGTCAGCGGAGGCACTGAGGGCTGATTTGGGGATTAGATGTTTTTGCTGGCACCACACATTTTAACGGCACATCTAGTTTGCCAGGTTCTCTCTGCAGCCTCAGCAACGACTCAAATTAATTCCTTGTTTTTAAGGCAACTGAAATTCCGTATGAAGAAAATCTACGTACCCATTAAGTGCGTCTTAAAAACTTTACCAGGGTTGTTGTTGTGAAATGACTGTTTGAAAAGTCAGCAAAGGTTTTTCAACCAGCTCATGGAGTTTAATAGCCACTGATACAATCTGCCCGCCTTTTGTGTAACTGTTTAAAATCAAGCACCCAGAGTGGAGTACACTGAAATGCACGGAAACGCACTCTGTGTCGACCTGTGAGCAAGCTGCCGGTGAGGTCTAACCACTCATTCCTGCAGAGCAGAGTGTGCCGCTGTGACTTTGCAGTGAAGCCAGCTCATCTGTGCTGTAACTGGAGCTGCAATAAATGGATCCAGGACGCTGCCGTGGTCATTAGAGCATTTCTTTCTTTTTTTTCCTGCCATCTGACAGATCTGTCACATGGCGTTGCATATGTGACGACACCCTTCCAGACTCCCACACATGGCAATTAGTGTGATGGCCTCTCTATGCTTGCACATGTCACCACCGTAGAAGTACACATTGACAATCGCACACAGATTGTTCATGAGTGCACACGAAAACAAATGTAAACAAAACCTCGACGTGCACTCATTAAGCACACAATGGCTGTTTAGTTTGGCTGAGGGAGGAAGAACTCATTAAAAAAGAGCAAACAAAATGCAGCTTGAAAAAAAAAAAACCCTTTATTAAACATCAAGGAGAATTTTTCTATTTCAAACCGTTGAATTTGTAGTAGGTGGAGATTTTGAGAAATTTGAAAAGGTAAATAAACATCTGTAACCGACTGCTCTCGGTTCGGTGTGTTCAGTGACTGACTGGGAAGCAGGTTTGGATCAAAATCATTACACAGTCAAAATTGTGAATTAATATTAATAATTACTACTATGTACATATTTAGGGAAACGTCCTGCCGTGAGAAACCGACCGAACACCTGAGTCAGTGATCTATTATTGCTTTTTGTATTTTATCACATAAAAAAAGGTCTGAGTCCATTTTTAATTTCAAGCCAACAGATGGAGGCAAAAAGCAGGAAATTCAAAGCATGTTCTATCTGCCTTGCATGCTGTTACCTCGAGTCAGACCAATATATCTTTGCTCAGCCCACAGTGGCGTGACGGTTTCAAGGATATCATCAGCAACCTATTTTGCTACTGCTTTCATAAGCCTTGGTTGTAGTTCAGTGTTCCATGACCACACATTATATATTCAGCGTGCTTTTTAAATATAAATGGTTATGAATCTTCCTTTTTTATTTGCTTTGTCAATGTCCAATTTATTAGGTCTAGCCTAACCAATTTGCACTGCTATAGATCAGATCTTATTCTGTTAATTGTCTATGTGCATAGTACACATTTGCTGTTTCCTCGTATTGCCTGGTAGTGATGCCCCAGGATACGTTGTAACCGCCCGCTCTTGTCTCCTCGTCTCCCCCCCCCCGCGCAGGACGATGCCCAGCAGCTCTTTGCCCTGTCTGCAGCTGCTGAGGAGCAGGGAATCTTTCCCGACGATCTGTCCAACGTGATGAGGCGGCTGTGGGGGGACAGCGGCATACAGGGTTGCTTTGCACGGTCACGAGAATACCAACTCAACGACTCTGCAGCGTAGTGAGTCTGACGTTGTATTTGCATTTTGTACTGTCACGCCACTTTGGGGCCAAATACAAGTTAATGCTCTTTTCTAAAATAACTTCAACATATCAATATGCAGACCTCCTTCGATCGATCACTGTTTTTGTATCAGTTTTTTAACATTCACACTATTATTAACGTTTCCCCTGCATATCATGTGTACACACTGTTTTACCTTTTTTATAAATAAGTGTGGTCAGCTAACAGGCAAATGTGCTCCTTTTTTCTTCCTGCATACATCTTTGTCGGAGATATATATATATATATATATATATATATATATATATATATATATATATAAAAGAAGTATAAACGGCTCACTGTCGTTCATGTGGCTGTTTAATGCTCCTGCTGTCAGGGTTTGTCAGATTTGCTCTCACATTCACTGCTACAGACACCGGAAAGATTTACTGATTATTTCTAGCTCTCAAAGTTTGATGGTTTCATAGTGCAACCTAATAAAAGAGAACCAAATGGTTTCTTTAGAATTTTTTTTTTATAAATCCATATCTACAGGATCTCTTACTGTCTGTGAAGTGAGGGTTGTCTGGGCTACCGAAGCTCCCAGATGGCCTCTGATGATGAGGCCATGCTTGTGTGAGTGGAGCAGGTTGTGTTCATCGTGCGGAAGATGCTTCCACACTCCCCTACTGACCACCAGTCCGTCACAAAACAAAATGTTGTGAATGGAGACTTAACAAAAGGATACCTCTTACTGTCTTTTGCTTTCAAGAGTCATTTAACTTGGATCTCTGTGTTGTATAAAACTTGAATCGGGGCTCTTTCTGGTGCTGCATTATCTTTGAAGAGGCAAATCCAGAGATGTAAATGTTGAGGCTTAATGATTTAAGAAAAGACAAATATTTTAAACCCATCCAAGTAACTTGTTACTCATCCTTTAAGTTAACCATATAAAAGAATAAGCGGTCCAACAGTTTATTCTTGCATGCAGCAGAACACCACTCACTCAACTTCTATTGTAGAGTTCAGTTTAAGGCAGTTAAGTAAAGAGTGAACTATGGTTTGGGTTTTCTGTCTATCAAAAAAACACTAGCATCATCTCTCTCCGTCTCTCCCAGTTACCTGAATGACCTGGAGAGGATCGCTAAAGCAGATTACATCCCTTCCCAGCAAGATGTGCTGCGAACTCGGGTCAAGACCACCGGCATCGTGGAGACTCACTTCACTTTCAAGGAACTGCACTTCAAGTAAGGCCATGAAGACTCAATGCCCAATGTCAATGCACTTTAGATGTATTGAGGAAAAAGAAAAAGAAACATACTCTTAAATGACATGTACATGACATCACACAGCCTCCTCCACAGCTGCTCCGAGCAGATTGCTTGATAATTACTGTGATTGACCAGAAGGCTGAGTGAACATGTGAGATCCGTCTCTCGCTCATTGAAACGAAGCCTCTGTAGTGCAAACGTTGCCCCATGTTACAGCACTTCAGGTCTTACATAAAACATGTTCCTGAGCACTCTTGTGTGTGGGATGATAATGGATGTATGGATAAATATCTTGATGCAGGATGTGCTGGAGATACGGTAACTGTTTCAATATTTATAATAACGGGACCTATACAGCGGATCCAAGTCTGGCTTAGTGTGCGTTTGACAAACTGACTAAAGCGCAAAGATCCCAGTTGTAAAATACCAAACACTTTGAAACGCAGCTAAACATATCTGGATTATAAAAAAAAAAAAGCTGCCGCATACTTCTGGTGTGACCTGTTTATTGATAAACTCTGATATTTACCTTCCGTGGCAGCGTCAATATTTGGCCTGAATAATGCATGGAGGCAATCAATAACAAGAAAGTCACAATTTCATTATTCATCGAAAGAAAGCCTTTTCACAATTACTTCATTAGATATTTCTTTTTGTGCGTCTGCGAAACTAAACACTGCAAACGGCCGTCTCTTTCATTAAGCTATAGAAGCCTTTGCACGTTAATCAGTTCTCAGCTTGTGCTTTGCTTGGAGTCTACAGTTTTTTTTTTTTTATTATATGTGTTTGAAGTCTCTACCTCCTCATCACAGCTGGTACATCCGGGACCATAGAGTCTCTCTAACTTTCTATTCCCTCCCCTCTTCAACAATCCTCTTCAATACCCCTTTCCTTATCCACCTCACCTTGATGTCTTCCACTGTGACCTCCTTCCCCCGCACACACAACACGTCTCCTCCACTTCGCCCCCTATGCAGAATGTTTGATGTCGGAGGGCAACGCTCGGAGAGGAAGAAGTGGATCCACTGTTTTGAAGGAGTTACAGCCATTATATTTTGTGTTGCGCTGAGTGCCTACGACCTGGTACTGGCTGAAGATGAGGAGATGGTAAGTGGGGAAAAAACAACCATCTAGCACATGTTTATTTTCACAAACAAAAGTTTTCTACCTTCATAAATCTGCTATTTTGCTTATGTGATGAAGTTTAGAGTGCAAAATGTTTTGTGGCGTTTAAAATCACCCAATGCTGGTGAGCTTCAGGTGATTCATTTACAGATTAACTAATGGAGTGTAATCATTTAATAAAAGCACAATTAAGTTACTTGACCTATTTCAATCTAATTGCTAATGAATTTACAGCACATCCCCAGTAGAAACCTGCCTGAAAGATGCTCTGCAATGTTTATTTCTCACATGTAAAATGTTAAACCACATTGTCCCCTGGTGGCGGCTCGGATGCCTTGTTGTGCTGCAGCCAATCCTGACTTTTCTCCACTTCAGAACCGAATGCACGAGAGCATGAAGCTGTTTGACTCCATCTGTAACAACAAGTGGTTCACTGAGACCTCCATCATCCTCTTCCTCAACAAGAAGGACCTCTTTGAGGAGAAGATCACTCGCAGCCCCCTCACCATCTGCTTTCCGGAATACACAGGTTTACAGTGCTTCTGTCCAACATCTTCGGTGTAACCACGGATATGTTATTGACTCGCTGCCAATTGCCCACAATAGGAAAAAGCACTCTGTCATCTTAATAACAAAGCACTTCTTGTCCTTCTAGGAGCCAACAAGTTTGATGAAGCAGCGAGTTACATTCAGACCAAGTTTGAGGACCTAAACAAGAAAAAGGACACAAAGGAGATCTACACCCACTTCACCTGCGCCACCGACACCAAGAACGTGCAGTTTGTCTTTGACGCCGTCACTGACGTCATTATTAAGAACAACCTAAAAGACTGTGGTCTTTTTTGAAGGTAGGACAGGAGGACGCAATCAGTACAATAAACAACAACAAAATATCAATCTATCATGAAGAAAACAGCTAAATTAATCAATAATTGATGTGATTGGTAGTTGCAGTCCTAATGTAATCAGACAATTGGCCTCCGAACAGCAATAAATGAGTCACTTTTAGTAACTTTAAAGGTATTGAAATGAATAAATGTTAGTTTGTTGGAAGGGGAACAACTAAGAAACGCTGTGTGCACGTAATCATTTGGTTCTGAGAGCACAACTTTGTGTTTTTCAGAAAAAAAGTAGCTGACTGGAGTTTTGCTGGTTTCAAATAGGAGATTTTATAAATGTTTGCCGTATGAATAAATGTGTCTGGGCAGGACCAAGAATGGAACGTGACATTTCAATCCAAAACCGGATAAATTCGTATATATCTAAATATACAAATAAAAGCTCTTTAATAATTTGAATGTTTATTTGTGTAATGGTTCTTTTTGTTGTTTTTTCTGTTCATGCAGGGCAATGCCTGATGCACACGCACTGCATGAGAGACTGCAACAGCCATGTGACGATAACTGCTTTTCATACTGAAAACCACGACAGGATTGATTCCTTAAGGGGAAACATTTTAAGGAAATTCAACAATCACTGGTTTGTTACCATCACATCAGTTGGGTTCATCTGTCTTTTTTTATATACATTAATTTCTTACTGGTCTAGGTGTTTTCATACCTGTGCCTGTAAATATACATTTGACCAAGGACCCTTTACTAGTTTTAAATTAGATCTGTAACTTAAATTGTATTATCCAAGAGGAAAAAAAGTTATTTTGACAAGCCATTTTCTTATATTGCATCATGGCAAATACAAATACAGAAAAATAAAAATTATTTTTTCTCCTTTCAAAAGTCTTCAAGAGCAGTTTGAGAACCACCTTTACACTATATTTATCACTACCTTTTTTTTTTTTTTACTTTGCACAATTGCCGTTTTAGTAGGAAGTTAAGGTACAAAACGCAACTTTTTACAAAATTCAATATAATCTTCATTGACTAATATTTCATTTTATGAACCTTTTAACTCGAGAGAGCTTTTTTTTTTTAGAAGATAAGAATGATAATGAAAAATGGGATTTGTTTTTTTGGAACAATGTTTACACAGAATCGCCATTCAGAGTTGTATTATAGTGCATTGTCTTGCATGGCTGTCCATATATCCGCCTGTGCCCTCCACAAACTGAATAACATTCCCCAAGTAACTCCTTTTAAAGAAAGAATATGGAAACGCTTGTCACTTATAAGCAATCTGCCACATGTGTAGGTCTGTTTCTAACCTGCATTGTTCTGTTGTATTTGTTCCGTCTTCTTACATATGTTCGTGCCTTGATATCGGTTTACACTTGTTCTTTAGAGACATGCTATCTCCATAGTGTGAAGTAGGGCTATTTATACTCCACTTTGGTTCACATGACTAATTATATAAGATGCATTAAAGCACAGACAAATGGACGAGAGTCTGTCACTAATCTTAAAGTAATTGTAATTCACTTGTTACATGTAAATAAAAGTTTACTCACATGTTGTTTCATTCTACCGTGTGATGTATAAAAGGAAAATGCACAAAACGTAAATTTTGATCCGCTGTGTTTGCACCAAAATCAAAAATAAGGTTTTGTATCGGTGCTTTCTGAGCAGTCTAACTTACAAAACGGTTACAATGAGGCGTCAACGGGTGAGACTGCGCAGTCATGAATAGTCTTCTACCAGTGAAATGAGAACACAACAGTGTTTGTATTAAACGCCAGCTCGTTTTTTTTTTAACCAGACGTCGTGTCTACAGAGGTCCACCAGGGGGCAGCATGTAAGCCGAAACAAATCCCATCCATACAGATGCTTCATGGTCATGACGTTTCTTGGTTATTTTTTGACAAAAACATTTAATTCACAGCCGTGTAAAACTAAAATGAATCAGTGGTACAAAAAAAACTTAAGTATTTAATATTATCGTAGTCCCTGGTTTGAAATGTCTAACATCTGTATGAATGGTTTAGTAAATGAAAACCGTCTCAAAAATGTTCTATAGATTTTCATTTAAAGAAAGTGGTCTTTATATCCATCTCCAGATGTGGAGTCGACAGTAATAAGCGTTGCAGTCGGAGCCGCTGTGTTCACGCGGGGAGGCGTCTAGTTTCAGGAGACTTGCTATTGGTTCATTTCCAGATGCGCTGCGCTGATTTGCTGCAGCGCAAAGTTGAGCGTCGTCAAAGTCCGCAGATAGACCTTCATGTGGTTCAGATGAGAGGACGCACGGAGAGACGCACCATCTCTTCTCGCCTGGAAATTTGCGGTGCTCTTGATTTTTATTTTTTGTTGTTGGCATTTAACCCGAATTAAACGCAGAGGTGAGTGTTATTTCCCTATTTATATATTACTAAAGTGCAATGTTGAAAAACGCCCAGTATTTATCTCGTTCTTTTTATTTTGCTGCAGAAACAGGATTCTAAACTTCACTGCGGACATTTAATCACGAGCCATGGTAAGTTTGTTCCACGTACTTATAATTCGACTGTTTCGTAGATGCACTCAGTGACTTTAATGTGAGATTGCAAAGATCGTTGCTCAGGAACCCGAACAAGCAAATATATAAAGCATTTTATACTGATCCTCGGAGTAAAGTCAAGAATGTTTCATTCCTTCAGGCTCAGTTAATTCAAACCAAACGGAACTGTTGAACTTGGTGAATCACTGCTGCTCGTTGTGTGAAGGCAGCCAAGGAGAACAGAACATTTTAAGAGGAGCAGAGTCCCAATGAGGATGTCCCAGTGGGCCAGATAAGTCTCTCTTCCCCCCCCCCCCCCCTCCCTCCCCGGGGACAAATGGTTCAGCACCCACAGCTGTGATAACATCATGGCATTGTGGTGTCCAAGCCGAACACTGACAGGATGGTTCATCAAACTGAACAGAAGAACTTGTGTGACGATAAAAAGTTAAAGCTACTCCTTTTCTGAGCCTGCTTGCTGCCACGGGAATGTTTTGGATGGAACCGTTTTAAAGAAACGTGTCGCAAATGTGCTGCGTTGTTTTCAGTTCATCTGAAAGCTGGAAAATGATTTGATTCACAATTGAAACCTCATCATATTCTAGTTCGACAAGCGTTCGTTATTTCCTGCGTTATATTTCAGTCCTGTCAACACCAGTTTAGGGGGAATCCACATGAGAAATACCCCTCGTCCCTCCTCCACTTTGTTCAAACTTCCCCTCCCGCTCTAGGAAGCAGGGAGACTGTGCCAGTGTAAAAAGGTGCGTCCTGTTCTGAGCTATAACTCTAGTTATTTTCTGGGATCACACGGGATGGTCTCCATAAAGCCGCTCTGAGGTTTGTCAGGAATGCCTCGCTTGTTATACGGTCGCACAGCACAGTGATGTCAGCTGGTAAAAATCTTATTGGCCCGGTTATGGAAACAACAGACGCTGTATTTCAGTCCGGCCAGTGCACGAGGAAAGATTTTGGAAGCCAAGCGCCGCTGCCTTGTCGCCTGCTGCAAAAGCCGCAAAAAATTCTGCCTGCACCACTGATGTCTTGCGTCTTTCCTTCTCAGCTGTGCTTAGGCGACTCTTCTGACTGCCTGCGGGACCAGATGCAGTGCATGGTGAGGTCCCTGCACGACCTGAAGCGGATGAGCAGGCCGAGGCCACTGAGTGAGCCGTGTGCGCGCTCCTTCGCCGTGGCGCGGCTCTGCAAACAGAGGGCCCGGCAGGAGCGGCTCGCCCGCCTGCGTGTCTCCGACGCCGGCACGTATGACTCCGCCTGCTGCCTGCACAGCCCCCTGGAAGAAGAGGAGGAGGAAGAGCAGCACCGGCAGCCTGACCGCTTGGCCCGAGGCTCCCCAAGCAGTGAGAAGAGTCTGGACTTTGACTCGGGTTACTCTGAGGCTTCCTGGCAGGATGAAGGTGTGGTGCTGAGGAGGACCAGGAACGTCCGAGTCTCCTCCTCGGCGTGCCTGCGCACAAACAGGGGACCCTCCGGCCGAATCCGGCCCAAGTCGACCTCGGACGCCTGCCTGGAGCGCTGGACCTCATTCGAGGCGAGTAACCCAGAGGACTGGACCACGTCGCTGCTGAGCCGCAGCCGAAACAGACAGCCGCTGGTTCTCGGGGACAACAGCTTCGCCGACCTCATAAAGAACTGGATGGACCTACCAGAGTGTCCCGAGCCAGCAGAGCCGAAGCCCAACGCGGGCCGCCGCCGCCTCGCCAAGGACATTTTGACAAACGTGCGGCGCAGGTTGGCGGGAGCGTCTAAAAGTGTGGAGGTGAGGCAGAGGCCTGCAGACTCCACGAGGCCCAGCCGGGCTGCAGAGGCCTCCAAGCGGATGTCCTGTCCAGTGGGGCTGCAGGCTCTCAAACCCTTCTTCCACCAGTCGCACACAGGCCTCCATCAGCCGGACGCCGACTTCTACAAGTCCACCGCCCTGATGAAGACCGGCAGCCGGCAACCCATCATATGTAGTGACGTCATCGGATACTTTTAAGTCGTGCTGTACCCCTGGACTGCTTGTGCAAAAAAAAAAAAAAAAATTCTATTTTTGTAATTGTGGTCCAAAGCGTTGCATCTGGATTAGTTGATTGCAATTTAAGTACTAACTGTTGAAATGTTATTATTGTAGCCATGTGTCATTAACATGAAGCGTCCTCCATTTTTCAAGTGGAAATGGGGGTGAATTTTCAGCCAAGTAGGCTGTAAACAAAATGTTCTACAGGGCCCTTTTCTGGTTAAACTGGGAGGCTGCAGTGAGTCTCAGTGAAGGACACGGACATAATTGTTCTTCATAGACATTTATTGAATTATTGCATGAATCACAAACCGCATCGTTCACACAAAGGCCCAAGTACAGCGATGATGTAAAATACAGCCGGAGAAGCAGATGAGACCAGTTTCTCCACACAGAGATCTGGTAATAATAGTTGTGAAATTACATTTTGCAAAGTTTGTGCTTTTAGTAAGATAAAATGTTATGATTAATAACAAACATGATTAAAGTATGCCAGCGAAATAATAAAACAAATGCGGAAGAAACTGTTGGAACAAATCATTCCGATAATAATCTTTGTAAACAGCTAAAGCAACAAAATGAGGAAGTTTTAAACTTCTATGTCACAGGAGATCAGGAGAAGTTTGCTTTGTTCCATTAAAACGGTCTCACGTGACGCCTTTTCGTGGGCATCACATGAGCATATATCTGATGGGCGGGACGATCTCACAATCCTCGTCTTCAGTAAACGACGGCATCAACTCCAGCATCTTCTTGTGCGGAGGGATTTCTGTCTTGGTGACCATTTTCACCACGTCAGAAACCCTGAAAGTATACAGACGCTTAGAATTACAAATATTGAAATACTAACTAGTTGGAACAAAAAGAGTAAACCTTTTCAACAAGGCCGTACCTATTGGTGTCCTGTGCAGAGCGATTGGCTCTTTTCCTTATAATCAATACAACTCATCAAAAGACCAAAAGCAGCGAATCAAGTATTTCTGTATCTAAAGCGTAATCCTCTGTACGAGAACCACCACACACGTACACCTTTCTGCTGGAAATACTCAAGAGGCACAAAAGATTTGTTAATCAGTGGCTAACAAAAACACATGACTTTTCACTGCTGTTGAAAAATGGAACAAAACATTAGGGAACCATTATTGAGGATTTACATTTTCAGTTAAAGAACGGACACGTAGTTTGGGAAAATAGGAAGTATTGCGAACACTTGTCTTTTCATGAGTGAATCTGACATTTGCTAAAACGGCAACTTCAAAATGAAATGATTTTGAATGGCGTCTGACTTTTTTTTTTTTAAGCAGCGAGTTGCCTCTCCTGGGCCCCCCGACACAGGAAGCTTGGTGCGGGGCGACTGCACAGGAAGCGGCTGTTGGAGAGGGCATTTGTCATGTCCGCTTTCCACGCGGCCATCACTCTGCCCGCCTCCGACTGCCGCTCCATCCGAACCCAAACAGCAGCTCCCCGGGGACCTCAGCGCCATCAACAGACACCCAGCCCGTCTCAAGATGAATACGATGGAATCGAAACATGCCTCAGGGTGCATATTCTGGTGTGATAAGAGTTCACGGCACAAGGCACGTGGCCCGGGGCTTTATACAAAACAGCGCGGCTTCTCACATGATGAAAAAGGCGGATTCTAATTGAATAGTTAAACACACGGGAACCCGATGAGGGTCTGTCTCACTCGTCTGTCCTCGGTGGTGCATGCGAGCGTGTCAACAGGCTCTCTGCTCCCTGGTCTCAGAGGAAACACCTCGTCCTGCCATTAGCCTCTAAACAAACGGCGGGAGGCTGCGCGCGGCCCGTGTTTGTGCGGCGATATGTAGCAACGCGTTGTGTCTTTGCCCCGAGCTGGACGTACCTCTGCTGGAGCCGCTCTTCTTGCCCCACGTAGAGGGCAGCGCTGCCATAGTAGAGACCACAGATGCTCAAGTTATACGTGTCCTGCACAACAAAAAAGGGTTCATTTTAATGCACGGTACAATATAACAAATGCACCAAAGTGTAAACGAGGTCACTTCTGCAAAGACGGCGGTCAGCAGTGCTAAATGTCTGATGGTCGACCCGTGGCCCCGCACATCTGGCAAAGGTTAAACAAACTCAGGAGCAAATATGATCACTCGCCAATTCATTTTCCCTTCGCTTCGTTGGGACAAACGGCTAAGGAATTAATAAATCAAGCGTCCTGTTAAATCGACGGCCATGTGCTTGGACATTTCTACTGCAAGTGGCCTGTGTCGTATTCTAAAGACATGCTGAACATATAAGAGCATTTGTACTTAACTAGATATGCAGGCGATGCACTTTTTGTGCATCTCTGTTGTATGAAGATACGGAGAGAAGATTTTTGGCATTTTGGGAAATGCAAGTGTCAGATGAGCATGTATAAGAAGCACATAAAAGAACTGAGGCGACTGTTTTTCATTCATTGGAAGAAAGTTGATGGTTCAAAAAAAAAAAAAAAGCTACTGTTGTGAACGGAAGGGATTCAATGGTCAATGACTGGAAAGAACGGAGGAAGGTGAACAGGTTTAGGGATAATAAACGTGCACTCAGTGGCACCGGGTGTGAGGAGAGTGTCTGTCCCCCCCGCTGAAAGGAATACGGAGGCCATACCTTGATATACTGGACAAGATCCCCCAAGGTCATTTCCTGTTGACCGCAGCGTCTGCCCTCGACGAGGAAGTCGTCCCACAGGGTGTATGTCCTCCCTGCGACCTGCCGATAGACACACACACACACACACACACACACACACACACACACACACACACACACACACACAGTGGACAGATTAACTACCTTCTTGCTGTGATGGGTGTGCAGACACTGTCTGTTGGTGGACACTCTGAGGCAGAGGGACGGCATTTTTCACCACTGTGTTAAAAAGCAGCTGAGAACAATCAGCAGCTCTCGGGGGGTCAAGAAGGGGCTTCCTCGTGTATTACCTTCTCGCTCTTCTCAAGTTTCTATGGAGAAGACTTCACACGGCTTTACAATCAACTGCTGTGTAATTGGTTTTCACGTGTGACTGTTTACCATAATCATCCAACTGAATTCATCCAGGAAAATATAACAAAAATGTGTCACGTGGTCAGAAAAGCCCCCGATGACGCAGCCGCTGTTTGGTGAGAGAAGATCAAAACTTGGATGTAAGATGTGGACTCTGGCTAAACCTGGCTCCAATTATCTCCAGCAGCCGAGGGGAACTTTTCGACTGGCCCTCACAACTCCAGACACGTATGTGGTTTTAGGGGTTTGGGTTTGCGGAGACACACTCGGGGGAAAACCTCTCTTGAAGTCTTGACGGGTGTCTCGGCTCTTTGTCCCATTTTTCAGGCAAAGCACATTCGGTTTGCAAGTTACACTTCTGACGCGCTGTAGTTTGTGCAAACATTCTATGGAACAACAGAGCTTGTCGAACAAAAGGCCATTATTTAAAATAATCTAAATGCGAGGTCATTGTCCGACATTTAAAGGCACTTCTTTTAGGCAGTGAGTTTTTCACCAGTGGTTTATTGTGTGCAGATTCAGATTTTACACGATGATTTGCAGGCTATATTTACTCTTTCCCCTCCCTTCTTTTCTCTCTGTTATATCTGTCGCACAACTCTGGAACTCTGAAGCCCCCAAAAGATCGTTGAGTGACGTAAACTATTCAACACAACAGTAAGGAAGAAATCGAGCTGCTAAACAATTACAAATGGTTTCCCACACGCACAGCTACGTTTTCTTTTTGTCACGAAATCATAAGCATGAAAAACTAGAATGGACCGAACAAGCGGTCGTCTCTGGGGAAGGAGAAGGAATGTGAAGGAGAGAGTTACTGCGTTCCTCCTAAAACAACACTGAACCGACTCACCAGTGTGGAAAACAACACAAAATTGGTGAGTTTGAAACGCAATTTTCTTGAACTTTTCACAACTTCGTCCACTACGATAATTCTGAAAAGCTCAAGTGTGATCCTACTGAAAACCCAGACGTGAAGCGGACAGCCGGGATTCTGGGCGTTTGAACTGTTACAAACGGACACTTCACAGCTGTGAGGGGAATAGAACCACGACAGTGTTCATTTAAGTTCACGGCGGTCAAATCTCCCGTCCTCTGTTTCACGTGTCGGACTCCGTATTACGAATGCGTGTCTGGACTTCCCCCTGAAACACAATCGGTCTTTCCAAAAACAATAAAGAAACAATGACAATTCAAATACTGAACTACTTCTCACTTCTCCGTTATGGTTTCACTGATCCAACAAAGAATCGCATAGTTTGCATGTAAACTCTCCTTTTTTATACCGTTAAATCAAAGAATAATACTGATGTTTTATACTGGAATAAATTACTCCACAGGATTATTTGCCCCAAAAATCCATTCTGCATTATTAAACATTATGCTCGTTATAAAACATCCGATCGGTTCCCCTAACATCTAAAATGCCCGGCCCAAACGTCAGGCTACTTCCTCTTGTTGAGAGGGAAGCGTGTCGAGCTTCCCTGCTCTTCCCGACAAATCTGAATTTAGACAGAAACTGTGTCCAATAACAGATTCTCATCCGCTGCATATCAAACACACACACACACTCCTTCCCCTTTCCACCTGTCTAGTTGCTATTACAGCTATTAGATAAAGCTGTTTATGACATCTATGCTGCGTAAATAGAAATTATATATTTTGAAATGCTTTGGAATGGAAAAAAATAGCACATTTTAGATTAAGATCTAAAAACTGCAAGATGCTAAACATCTACCAACTTTAGCGTTCTGTTTTGAACACTAGAAAGATTTATATTCCAAGGCAGTTGATACGGGTCAACATGCATTAAAGCATAAACTTCCGCCTGACTGACAGGATCAAAAAGGTCAGAGGATACTGGCTCGATCACAAAGCGCTTCTTCCAATAAGGCCCGAAAAACAAATGCCGACCAAACCGCGCGGTCCAGCAGCAAAACGACGTATCAGAGGGCTGTAAGGAATTAAATCAGCTTCAACTTGCAGTTCAAATGAATGATCTTCGTTATACTCGATGTTTGTCCCCACAGCTTCTTTTTTTTGCCAGATTTTGAGTTCAGCCCAGCGCAGCCCGAGGAAGTTCAGCCGAGTAAACCTGATAAGGAGGTAAAACGAATACAAGTCGGATTGCGATCCACAGTCATGCTCTTCATTTGGCATTTGCCGTGTTTTCATTATGTCAGTTTCTTAATCCCGCCCTTTAAGACAATGGAGCACTTTTAGCAAACAGGAAGCCGGGATTAGGCAGCAAACCTCGATAAATCCTCCTCCTCTGCCACAAGAAACAGGCGCGCTCCCGCCTCGGCTTCACTATCTGGACGGAACTCCCACCGTGGAAGCGTTTTTACAGCCCGTCGTGGCTCCTTCAAAGGCCGCGCTTTTCAAAGTGAGGCTTTGCGAGAGAGATCTGCGCGGTCTTTTTGATCGTCATTTCATTTTAAGCTCACTGAGCTTCCCTTTTGTAGATTTCACCAAAACATCACACCTTAGATTAGTTCTCAACGGAGCCTCAAGTTCAGCTACGTGTCCGTCCGCACGTGTTCACTATAATGTATATGAATGTATATACTATAAACAATAAGGTGTAAAATGTTAGAAGTCGCTATTTTTTGTTTGATTGAATGTGTTAAAAAAATGGAATCTTATTTATTTAAACTCTTTATTTTCTTTCTTTCTAAAATGTGAAAGTGTTTTATGATATGTAGGTTTTAAAAAACATTTTATACAAAAGGAAACCTCATTCCTTAAAGCTAAATCCAGGAAGTATCTCTCATGGTTCAAACAATCACTGCATTGTATGGAAATATAGAAAAGGGCAATCAATTTCCTCTTCAGCCGCATGGATACACCTTCACACCTACAGCACAGATCCAATGGTGATGTGCAGCGATACTGCCAACAACTCAACATCAACGGACGGAAGCTCACAGCTCAGCGGGTGGAAAATGAAAATAAAATATACAAATTCACACCGTAGTACTTATTACGGTTTGAGGGAAAATGCTGGTACGGCTGTGATGTAGTAGCATCATTGTGGGCAAATGGGGACATTCTTCTGATGAAAAAACACAGTCATGAGGAGCGAGAAGCTCCCCTGATGACGTGGATGACTTCACGTCTGCCTGAAGCTCAGAGCACACAGACAGTGCTGTTGGTGGCTGAGCTGAATTCTGGGTAATGCGGGCGCCAGGCATCGGTTTTGATCTTTCTTTTTTCTTTTTTTTTTAAACTGTCCATCTCTGACATTGGGGTGTTGTGCTGAAACGGGCCGAGTACTGTTTCAATGGAGATGACACCACCAAGAATATGTTAATATGATGTTCTCAAACCTTCACCTGTGGTCGATTTGCCAGAATTATAAATGACAATGAAGAGCAGCTCGCATACATCTACAGGAATCCGTTCATCAGTGGACCTTTCTCTGAACGGGAGTGTCATCTGCTACCTGATCACTATTGATCACCTCTCTCTTTGGACTGCGATGAACAAACAGATGGCTGAGACCTCCCACGGCCCCCACTGGGATTATTTATCTATGACACACCGGAGAATCCACAGGGCACCATCCCAAAGACAACTAAAGCATTAATGCGAATAAAATATGCACACAATACGTTGTATTCAGAGTAGTAAGCTAGGTTTTGAAGGTTGACTACACTAGTGCAGGTAGGAGGGTAGGAGACACTTCTCAGCAAAGTGCTGAGTTTGACACGACGACGTAAGACGCCGGCAGTTAACTTTGAAAGGCTCCCATTGACGTGTAAAACAGCAAAGAGAATCTCAATGTGATTGTCTTTCAAATGAGAAGATAAGACTGAAAATGACCTGGGGCAGAAGGACCGAGTCAATAAAATGCTCCTCTTGCAAATGGGGCCATTGACATGCTGGAGCCTGCAGAGACGTGCACGGGGCAAATGTTTGATTGATTAGAGTCACACGTGTAAAACAACAAATTATCATCGAGTGGTCTGACGAAGGCTTGGCCTTGGATTCCACACTAACCTGCTGACTGTTAGTCTGGCCCTTACTGTTTGTTGGCATGTTCGTTGGACACACATCCACAAATGTTTCAGTCAGCAGGATCAATTCGCCCACCCCCACCCCCCCAAATGATGCAAGTTCCTGTTAATTTGCTTCTTATGCATAAAACCAGCACCCTGTCGAAGACAAACAGTCTTTAGGGGCTGTAATTACCATAGATCCCCAGTCTCCTTTAGGACCACATTTGTGGGACTTGCAAGACCAGTAAAAGTCACTTTATTTCTTTTTCCACAACATACTTGGACACGTGTATGTTGTTAGTCGGGGCCTCGTGTGCTCTGCATACATGACGGTCTGCAGGAGGCCAGCAAACAGGCACAATTAGCCATATGGGACATTATCCATACATGGGGGGGGGGTTGTGTACACGTATGAGGTAACGGTTCCTGCGTGTCTTAGTGGATAAAGGGTGAGGGGGCGAAGACGAGGCAGAATGTATGTTTACGGTCGTGATCTCAGCTCAGAAACTTGAATTTAATGTCACTCATGGGGGAACCCCGCGGCCCATCCCCCCCCTGCTAACATTGGTGCTTTAATGAGAGAATAACGGAGACCACTAATAACGTCCACATGCTTCAGTCAAACACGCCGGCAGAAAAGAGCTGGAAGAAACATGTAAAAATACCTCACAAAGTCAGCTCCATTATTCTTCCCCCGCACGGAAAATAGACAAACCCAGAGGAGAAGTACTAACATCTTGTACGTACTTGATTAAAATTAGCTCCAGAAATTTGTGAAGGGTTGTAAAAATAATTCCAGACGTACTTTTTAGGTGAACTCATCCGTTGAGTGTGTTGTTTGCGCAGCTTTAGTCACTCATGCTGGTCGAGCTTTAAGGTCCCACGTGCGTTTAAACACCACGAGCAGACGCAGTCTCGCTATTGTGTTTCTCATCCAACACTCGTATTTCACAGTAGATGGTTGAAGAGGAACTAAACGCGTTAAGTTAGTTTGTTCGGCCAAATGGGGAGCGTGTGTGGAGGACTCATGATAAATAAATACGCCATCTTTAGCGATCTTTGAGTAGACAAACGATTTGTGGGGAACTAAAGAAGAAGTGGTGATGGAGCAACGCAGCGTGACTTAAAAACAGAAGGCCAACAAGACAATGGCACCAACCGTCTACGTTGACCACAGATTACTCATTATCCCGTGAGCACTATTGATGTGCAGGTCTTGAGTTACAAACTGCACAATGCAGATCCACGCGGGGGCTCCCGGAGGAGCACCGAGGGCCTTGGATCATGTTCCCCCCCCGTTTCTTTACTGGCACAGACTGAGGAGGCTAACGCAGATCCAGCCACATGTGGGCTCGCTTAAATCTCCCCTTTGTTCTTCTCCTTTCTCTCTTCAAGTCAGTCCGTGTTATGCGCGAGGCAGATGTGGGGCCTCCAATTATGTAAGTGCTTTAATCACGAACCAAGTAGCTGCAGGTTTTGCTTTCTGCATGTAAAACGAACATACAACCACCTAATGTACTCAGCTAACGTGCAAACATGTTGATGATGGAACGATGGTGTAAGAAACAGAGAACGCCTCCTCCCGGTGCTCTGCAGAACCCCGCAGCAAGGTCCCATGAACGCTCACAGGGAAATCTGTTTTCAATACACTGCTTCCTGTGAAGCCAGGAAACAGCCGGTCGTTTCTGCAGCCAATTAACAAAGAACCAGTGTGAGCGTCGACCTTTGCGCGGCTTCCTTGAGATCAGGAACGTCGCCTCCAACACCGCTAATTCAATTAAGAGACCGAAAGGGCGAGCCGGGGGAAGAGGGCGCCGCGTTCAGCCCGGTGGGGGGGATGTGGAGGATGTGTGCGCAGGAGAGGGAGTGTTTCCATGGCGCGAAACCAGCAGGCAGCATAGCGCGCAAGTCAAGGCAGCGCACACTGGGACACAGTCAGGAACGCCGCCGCGGGGCTTTTTGGACGGAGCTATTTTAATTCTCAGCTGGAACACGTCCTCCTCTGCCCTGGCGTAGGGAGATGTTGCTCCTTCATCTGCTTTACTGCGGCTCAGTTACAACTGCAGGACTCATTAATTGTTGTTGTGCTTGAAATAACGCTCAGTGTCTCGTCAGGTTTTGTTTCCTGCAAAAACAAGCGCTGCCTGCCGGCTTTCACTCAGGGTTTCACGCCATGTCTGTCATGCTATATTTGGCACTTACAGCCGACCCGAGTAACATCAAGCTTTCTGGCCGTTTCAGAGATATCCATCTATGCGAGCTCGCCAGACTCGCCACTCCTTCAGTGTAATGGCCTCTGCCTCAGCCCCCCCCCCCCCCACAGAAAACATAAACACGAGGAGGAAAAAGATACTAAAAAATAGTACAGCGTTTGTTTACATATTTCTGCCTCCATAACAGCAGCGGGTGTATTTCCGGGGGAAACTTCCTATTTTGGGAAACAGCTGCTTTAAAGCAACAATTTCTGGAAAAGGGGTCAGCGTGGTCGGAGTCCTCTGTGAACACCGGTGGTACACACGGCCGCATCTAAACATTCTAATCTAAAAAAATCCCCAAAAACTTTTCCCGAAAGCCGCCAACCCCAACGACCGACTCACAATCACGAAGCGCTAACCTCTTTGTTGTTGTGGCGCTGCGAGTTACATCCCTGCTGTGATGTGGCGGGATGAAAGCGCAACACTTGTGTGGTGAACGCCAGGACCATCCGTGAGGTGTTACCTGATATTAATGAACTGAGACTGATCTGACGAGGAGAGAGAGGCCCGAGTCACTGCAAAAAGTAAGCTGAGCTCTTGATGCCGCGTGTCAGATCAGAGATATTTAACGGCTGCACGTCCGAGGTCCCTTCGAACGCCGCCTAATAAAGCCTCTAATCTCAGAGAGATCAGAGTGATAAGAGGATATTAATAGCCATGTTGCTTTGGTGTCTGTTTTCATTACTGTGTGGACTAATTTCTGCTATTTAGAATACCGTAAATGAGCTAATATACAATGTGATGGGATATGAGACTGAAATGGCAGATATGAGTTTGTTGACCCACTTTCCCATTGAATTGAATGAGAAAATGTGTCGAAACGTTTGACTGGTACTGTATACAGTATGTTCACTACACACTACATTTAAAAGTCAAATATGTATCTAGAAAAGAATCAGACACATATTTCGAACTAATTCTGAAGACTAAAGACTAAAATGTTTTCTTATTTTCTCCGACTTCGATGACTTAAGTTTTGGCAGCCGAACATCCTTCTCTCCCCCTCCCTCCGCCTGCGTGTGCGTGCGTAACAGCACATGTGTGCTCCTCATTGACTTTGTCCCCATCGGCTTCAAGCGGATGCAGCAGCCCCACAGGCCCGCGTGAAGCTCTGGACCGTCTAATGTCCGTCTCGCTTTCTCGATCCTCCAAACGCTCGAGCCTGTGGCCTCTCGCTGAAACGATGTCAGGTGCCTCTCTTCTGTCCAGGCGCATCCGACGTTCCACGCTGCCTTCGGCAATGCTGTGCTTCTGCCAGCAAATTCTAAAAGAATGTGCAAACACTTTCGCTGGCCAAATTTACCGACAGCAACTGAGGGTGGGGGGCGGGCGGGGGGGGTTTGTAAGGAGGGAGGACAGCGTGCCTGGAAGTCGCAGCTGCCTTCACTGCAGCTGTAGCCCTTTTTTCGTCTCGTAGCCAAATCTTGAAACCAGACCTACAGTGTCTCAGAGCTCCCTGCCGCTGCACCCTCACGTAGCAGAGCACACAGCTACCTCACCCGCTGACCCCCCCATGACCCCCCCGTCTGTCAGAGGTCCAAGGCTCGGGCAGCTCCCATATCTGATTCCCCCGCAGAGGGGAGATATTCAGGGGAAAGCAGTCGGGCCTCAGCGGCGTTATTTGACTGGATATCCTCTCAGACTTGACCCTGAGAGTCGAATCTGGCCGGTAGCTATTGCATGTTTGTGTTTCAAAGCTTGGCCCGTGCAGCACAGAGAACTTGGTGTGAGCCGACACGTCGGGGTGGGATTTGGTCCTGAAAGGGCTCTGAGAAGAAGCTCTTTTCATTTCGGCTTTGAGCTGCAGACGCTTTAAATCCACATTATGTGTGCAAACCCAGAGGCCGACAAGGGCGTGTTTAAGTCTTACCTGCACCGAAATGCCCTGAGGATTGTGAGCTGGCTAAAGCCTCGGCTCATGTGCAAGAAATCGCCAGTTAACAGGGTTCTCTTACTCTGAGAGACACATTAATAACTTAATGCACGTCAGCCGCTGAGGAAGGACTGAAGGATCCACAAAGGAGCAGACTGATTTATCCTCAAAGCGGGCAGGCTTAAATGATAAATGTGCATACAGTGAGCGTCAGTCAGGCTGTATAAGGGGCCACTATGTGTGACTGACTGCTTTGTAAATCTTGTACCTTAAACTAAACACAGTCGCTGGCTGCGACTGAAAATGTCTGTAGGGGGTAAAGAGCTGGTACTCACTTCAAAGCCGTGGGCCGGGCTCGGTGGGCAAAACACAATGTGCGTGACTGGCAGGTACATGTAAGCCGTGCTGTAGGAGCTGATGTTCCGGTGACCCTGCACCAGTTTGTAGAGCTCCAGGCACATCAAGCCGGCCACCGCGGCCGTGGTGGTGGCGATGGCTGGGATGATCCTCCCGGCGATGCGCTTACTCTGTGGAGGAGACAGCAGACGTCCTATTTCTTATAGAGTCCTACGCAGCGAGGTGATTAGTGTGGCAGATAAATCTTGTGATGGGTTTTTTTTAAACAGTATTTCACCGTGATGAATGCGTATAGTTCAAAGCAGCAAAACAAAATCCCTCAAATGCGGGTACTTTAAAAGTGTACTGAAGTAAGCCTACAGTACTTAAGTGAATATTCAAAGCTACTTTGCACAACTGCTCGCATCTCAGAGACAAACTTCTTGTCTTCTTTTTTACTGCATTGCATTTCTGTCACAGCTATAGTTAGTTTGAATGTCAAGGCTTTATATAGAAAACAGATGCTGCATAAATACAGTACTGCATTTTGTAACGTATAATATAACACTGACAGGGAACATTCTGCGACATAAAATACTTGCTCTGCTGCAAATACTCTTGTGCTGTATAAGCGACATTGGTGTGTTTTGTATGTGAAGACTTTTGTTCCGTGACGCCATGACATTACACATCCAATTGGTTATCTTACATTTACTTCTTTATGCCAGACGCATTTCAATACAGGGGCATTGTCCTTTAATTCATATAATCAAACCCTCTATACTGACAAATTTGACACAACTGTATGACTGTTTGCAGCGTAGATACTGTATACAATGAAACGGGTAAAATGGTGACTAAAAGTCACGTTATTCCTGAACAAGATGCAACACGTGGAAGCGTCTTTTTCATTGCTGCCCCTCCCCCTCGCTTAGCAGCAGCACCCACCCCCCCCCCGTCCCTCCATCTGTCTCGGGTGTTTGTCTGCAGCCGCGGCGGGTACAAGGCCGGGGCTCAGGTGTCACCTCCCGGGCGACAGGTAAAGTGCGGTGATTAGTTCTGCTCGGGGAACAATGGGTGAGGAGGCTGTTTCTGTGGCTTCAGGGCAGGTGTGTGCAGCACAGACTGAAAACATGACCCCAAGGGAGGGGCTCTTTCTTTATTGTTGACTTATTTACCTCTAAATCTTTTTAACCCTGCACAGAGATTTGTTTTTTTCGATGATGCGCTTGGTGAAGATGCTGACCTGGTGCCGATCAGCTGCAGGGATGTCGTAGTTCTCGGCCCTCAGGTTGGATGCAGCGACGATGTAGTCCACGTGGAAGTTACTGTCGTCATCCTGTGCCGTGTGGGGTGTCAAACAAACAGCACATGAGCCATTCATGTGACACACTCCGAAGCTCCAAGCGCACGACCAAATTGTGTGTATCCACGAGTGGAACCCGCAGTGGAGTGGTGGAACGCGGCTTGGCTGCTTTGAGCGTTTTCCAGGCTTTGTTGTCGGGTCACTTACATTACTCTTGTACATGATTTAGGTCATCCTAATAGAATGCATGCGAATTCGAAATTTCGGTTGTGATTGACACGGCCAGTGAGGTCATTCCTGCTTCTGCGGCTCTACAAAGACTCTAAAGGGGACTGTCGCTCAGCGATGGCTTTAGGGGTTCCCGAGGAAGCTTCTCGCCGGCAACCTGATGCATTTGAAACCCTCCTACGCACATTCCATCAACCCGCAGCATGACCTGGGCACTAAGGGATGAAAACGACAAAGAAGTGGGAGCGAGTTACCGTGTACACTTTTATTCCTGCTCCTACTGAGTCACCGGATGCTTTACCAGAACCTCTCTCTCCACAACAACAACAACCACCTGATCATCTGGCCTCTCAGATCAATGAAAAAGCTTGTAGGATGTGAGAATTTGAAATAATCAGAAGTTTACCGGGAAATCAGGATATCAGGGTTTTCTGGGTAAACGGGTAAATAAGGAACATGAGATACAGAGGACGTGTTTCTTCCTCCCACATGATGAAAATTAGCTTTGAGGACACAATTCCTCAAGATGTCACTCGGTTAGTTTCATGCCATCACGGATGAAACAGGTTCATCATTTTGTTGATTTGTTTAGCCAAGATCTTTTTTTTATTAATTTTTCCATTTTAAATTTAAATTTACTGCTGAAACCTAAATAGAAAATAAGCTGCTGCCCTGGTGACACTGACGGGGTCGTTTCAGAGTCAGTTCTTTCTTCTCTGCTTACTCCGTTGACTTAGTTGAATTCATACGGGAGAAATATGTCTAACCTGCACTCCCATATAACTTATTGGAGAAAAAAAAAGGGCCGTTGCACTCGGATCCCACAGACCTCATGCAAGATCCCAACCGAGCGCTAAACCTGATTTAATGCCCAGGCGGCAGATGATTATTTGTTGAGAGGTGTTGCGAAGGAGTGCGAGGGGAGACTGTGACACAGACGCTAATCTACCCCCGGGGCTCAGGCTGCCACTTCAAAGACACGGTCGACACGCTGGCGGACAGTAGTATCTGTGCTGTAATCCACTGCACCAAATGGCTTCTAATGAGCCTCTAACACGGGGCCATAGGGACATAATGAGACTGGGACCGGTGGAGGGGCAAACAATTGTCTCCACAGTACGGAATCAGTTGCTAAACGAGAAAAGGCCTCTAGCCAGTTCAAATAGAGGCTTCATTTAGTTCATTGGCAGTAGTGTGACCCACCACAAAGCAGCGCTTAGGCATTTGTCGGTTGTCTGCTAGCAGATGAGACAAAGAGGCACCTTCACATTAATCAAAGCAATAGGCCACGATCAGTAGTTTCCCCCTGCGGTGTGGACAGGACTTCATCACGCTCGGTCTCTGCACACATGTGCATTTGTTCCGCTTCCAACTTAATTTAATTTAGGATTTGAGCTTCTGAATATACTTTTGAGCCCCAAGGATTTATAACAGCAAACAAAGAGTACAAGTGAGCTCTGTTTTCACGAACGTTCCGAGGGACAGAACCGATTCGGGTCATCGAGGACCCAAAGGAGAGGGTGGAAAGAAAAAGCGTAGTCTGAAAGCAGCCATAGATTTAGATCCAGCTCCCTGCGAACACTCGGCCGCCAATCTGTCTGTGGCTTCTGCAGAGTAAGCAGCCGAGGTGTCAATGCGCTCATGCCGTACCTTTTCAAAGTCGATGGGGTACATCAGCATGAATGAGCTTTCCACCGATGACGAGGCCAACTTTCCTTTCCACTCCTCAAGTTCGGCTTTCTCTGGTGCAGGGAAAGAGTTGAGAAAATGAGAAAAAGTGATGTAATAACCAAAATTATCGGCTATAAAATCAATCTTACTGGCGTCATCTTGTTTGTCCTCCTCCATCTCCTCGTCCGAGAGGTGAATCTTCACGGACGACTTGGGAGTGAAAGATGGGAGGCGGACTTTTTCTAAGGTTTTTGTGATAGAAGCGCGGTCTCTTGTCCCGCTGATTCTAAAGATCTGCCCATACAGATTAGCTGCTGCCACAACATAGTCCATGTGAGTAGTCTAGAAAGACACAATACACCATAAAATGCTGTATGTTTTGTCATGTTTTAACAGAAATACAATGTCAATATTAGTACTCAATAAGAGTCATTGTGCATTTCTTTAAAAACACAACGTTGTCGTTCTGGAGAAAAGAAAAAAGCTGTATAAAATGATAAATTGGTTATTTAAGTTAATTTAAAGAGGACATTGTGTGCAGAACAGGTAACTAACAAGTCACTTTTGTCTCGCTTTCTAGAAAAATGAAAAATGGCAATGACCATGTCTCTGTCACACATGTAGAGGTGCAAAAATAAATGTAAAGGAGATACAAGTCACAAGACAGCAGATGAAATACTGAGAAGGAGGGAAGCAGATCTACAATGTGAGATGACGGAACAAGTCATTTCTTTCTGCTGTCAATGCGTAATCGCTGCCTTGCGCGTTGGTGTATTCTAAGCGTAATGCCGTCCTGTTACCTGAGAGTTTGTCCAAGTTAGCTTGGCTGTAAAAGACTTGAATGTGGGTGGAGAGCAGATTATTATCTGCATCTCATTGTCCGTATGAAGGTTAAGTGCTATTCAGAGGATCCAGTATACGGTCGGAGAGGGGAAGAGACTATCAGCGCTGATAACGAAGGAATGCTCATCAGCAAATACCGTGTTATTCACCGATTTCATGATTACTGCTGCAGGAGGAATTGGACCAGATGCTACTTACATTGTTGGGGTCAAAGGTCAGCGGATGAGGGCACCTCTTGGATCCGGCCCAGAAGGGTAGACCAGCAGCAGTCACCTAAAAGAAAAGAAAAAAAATCAATATGATCAACAGCTGAAACTTTTCAATACAAAATGTGCCAGAGGTGCAATAGATGTCATGTGTACAGAGATTGACAAAAAGGCCAAATGCATGAGACATAAATAAATCACACATTGAGTAGAAAGCAGAATAATGATGTAGAAATGACTACTAATAATAGTGTTAACAGTAGCAGCGGCCTTGGCAGCGTCCACATTGAGTATATTCCTTTATAAAGCTCTCCATAGTTCTATGAAGCACTAAGGTGATCGCCACAAGACGATCTTTGTCCCCCATTAAATACAGGATACATTTCTTTATTTGCTTATTTTATATGAAGTGTTACGTGTATTTTCATTACTATCTAAATGACGTATCATGAAACATACATTAGGAGAACATCCCCCTCAGTTGTGTGACGTATGAGGAGGATTACGACCTTCCTGCAGACCAGCCAGACTAATACAGTTATCAGTCGTGTGTTGACAACACAATTTGTACGTCTGATAAAGTAACAAAGGAGCCGAGAGCTTTGATGTTTCCAAATGGTCGGTGTGCTGGGAAAGAGAGAGCTTCCTACTGGTGGTCACTTCTTCACTGCAGGGGAGCTTTTTATAGCAGCCAAAAGGCATCAAAAGCATTCTCTTTTCCTAAATCCCCCTGAAGGCCTCTTTCCTTGATTAACGAGTCACTGGTTAAATATGATATCTTGTATTACTATTTTTAAAGATAAAATCTTAGTTTGATATTTGAGCAATACTTTACTGTACTGTAATGAAACACCAGTTTAAGTCCAGTAATTGAATAAATTTAATAATAAAATGTACTTCTTTTGCTCGAGGATAAAATAACAGGTATTACATTTACAATTTTGTGGAACTGAAAAAGCCACAAATGACCACCAACTTGAAGAACTATGTTTAAACAGTTAAAGCCCTCTTCTTTGGTCTTTAACTGTACTCTCCTTAGCTGCCGATATGCTGTTTATTGTAATTCCATTAACAATAAAATGCATTTAATCTCTGATGCCATATTTAACTTATTCTGAGCGGTTTCTCACTCTGAAATCCGACCATTACTCCACGTGTAAAAGTTTAAACGCACACGCAGGACCACGCTCACTTCTGCATGGAGACGAAGACGTTTGGAATGAGTGGCCATTTATCACACTGGTTTACACGCCCACGTGTGTCCTGCTGATTTGTGGACGCTAACCGACGTTTGCTGTTTAATCGCGGTTCCTCAGAAGGTTTGTGGTCGAGAATCAAACCGTAACTGAGACAACCAGAAAAAAAAAGAGGAAATGATAACAATAACTGCCAAAGAGTTTCTCTGTGGTGCGTTGAGATTACACGGTCAAACTAAAATGTTTGGATGTTTTCCGGAAAGGTTCAAATTCAAATTGTGACACTTTTGACAAAACATTTTCTCTGGGAAAATAATACGATTGTAGTACTCTACTATATATATTCTAGCAGACACTAATGTAAAAAAAAACTATCGCCCTGCAGACATCTAATGGAGCTTTAAACGGGCTGTGTCTGAGTTAGTGAGGGTCTGTTTGGCTTGATACTGATCCGAGCCCCCCAAGGTGTGAGAGCAACATGTGACATCACTCTGAGGGTTTGTAATCTGGTGAAGCATGCAGACAGAGATATTTATCAGTGGTTTGAGTTTCAGACAGGTCTCGTAGAGGGTCTCTGGTCGCAGGGAAATATGCACTACGACACCGTGACACGTAAAGAAATGTGAGTCATTACAGTGTTTTCATAGCTTGATATGCACGGAACTCTTACAAACACAGCGGTGCCCTTATGTGTCCATCAAAATGAACCACATATACTTCTATTTCCCGTGGTGTGAATTTACCTCCCCGGGAGGGAAACAATGGAGGAGCTGGCGGATGTCGTTGTTATAGAGAGTCTCCCACTTGCAGCGTGCCCAGCTCACGCAGTCCTCCCAGCTCGTTGGACGTTGTCCTCCGGCTTCCGTGTTCTGCAGGCTGCTCCACAGACCCCAAAGAACCTCCAGGGCCTCAGCGTCTCCGAGGCCAAGAGTCCGCTCCACGAAGCCGTCATCTCTACAGGAGACGGTGCAGCAATTCATTTCGATCAAATAACACAGAAGGTAACAAATGTGTGGGGGGAAATAAAAAAAGACAAGTATGCTCTAAAGTTCTAATCTAAAGTGGATAAAAGCTTTTTTACTGACTTACTGGCAGCAGTTAAACTGAAGAATATTTGGCTGTTTACAGGAAGAATGACGAAACAGATCTTTGTAAATTAGGGTGTAGTCTTGTTACTGACTCAGAGGGGGTTCCATTGACACTTGGATGAGGATTACTGCGGTTAGTAAGTTTGTAGTGTGCCGGTCGCTGCCACTCCATACCACACGTCATGCATCCGCGTACTAAGAAAGAGGAATCTGCCTCCCATGCGTGCAGTTACACCTCAACGGGTCTAAACAGGAGCACTCTGCCCACAGCTACATCGAGCTGCATGGGTCGGAAATTAACACAGAATGACATCATCAACCAGGTCTTAATAGTTAACTATTGTAAGTCGCTGCGGATAAAAGCGTCAGCTAGATGACATGTGATGTAATGTAATGTCTTAAAATGTACCGGACTACAACGTGAAGCCGACCTGCTTCATTAAATTCTAATCTCTCTACACATCAGTGTAAGATGAGAAACTTCAGCAGCTGTTTGTTCCCCCCCCCCAATCTGTTTAGAGACACAGGAAAGTGTGCAAGTGCTTTACAATGAGGGGGGGGGGGGGGGGGGGTACCCAAAAATTTTCCCAAAAAAAACAAAATTTCAACACATGGGTGGTATATGGGGGGGTCCCAGGCTGTTTCACCATAAGTAGGTTAAAGGTTCTGTCCTCCATGACATAATGTGGAGAACACTCTGCCGAGTTTTCCTGGATTTGTTTTGGCGAAGAAAAAAAGCCTTTCATAAAGAACCATAAGGCGTCATTAAGGGGGCGCGGATTGGAACCCCCCCCCCCCCCCCCCAAATATTCCCGCTCGTCAGAGGCAACGCTTGTTGTGTAAAAGGGTTAGTCACACGACGACGGCATCGTATCTCACCTCAGGAAGAGATTCACATTTTCAGGTGTTTGTTTGAACAGCCCCTCGAACTGGTCTCTGGCCCACTAGAATAATTGTTAAAAAAAAAAGAAAAGAATACACTGAGCGACAGGAAAAGAAATTCCTTTAAATTATAATAGTGTATTGCACTATATATCTTAATAGAATAGTTTTTTATTGATTCTTGTAATAAATGTGTTACAGATTCAAACTGGGTTATTTTATTCTGTGTTTTGCTGTGCACAACACTTACTTACGCATCTATCACAACTTTCCAATGGATTGACACAAAATCTGCTTTGGCGATCACATAACTTAACATTTAGCGCCATCATCTGGTCACATTTTTATTTTTGGTCTTCGGTCCATCATTAGCAAATGCTAGCATACGAGCATGCTGAACTAAAACGGTGAACAACAGGGTGCTAAAGCAACAGCACGTTAGCATTTTGCATAATAAGCTGTTTAGCTTGCCGAGTTGAACGTGGAGCTCAAATCGCCACCGCGTGATGAGACTTGATAAAACCCTTCGGCCGTATCACACTACAGTTTGTACTGTGCTGTCCTTCGACAACCAGTGAGCGTTAGCCCGGACTTTGGACCGAACACTTAACGCTTTCATTGTACCTGCAGGGTGTGCTCAATGCGGTGAGGGAAGTTCTTGAGCGTGCACAGCGGGATGGCGTCATTAGAACTCGAGGTGCTTGGGCCGTAGGACTTTGTCAGGTGAGGCACCACCACCACAGTGCTGCCCTGGCATCCTAAAGTTCCTCCCTCCACCAGCGGTTTCTGGTGCTGAACGCAGCGTCCATCAAGATAGACCCCTGTGCGGCAAAGGAGGGATTTAGACTGTCGTTTTACAAGCGTTTTGTAGTTAAAAAAAAAAGAAAAAAAAAGAATGAATGATAGCTGCAAAGAGAGAACCCACTCACTGGCTTCCACATTATCAAGGGCTGCAGCTACTCCGTCGAGACCCATGAAGAAGTTGTAATCGTACACGCCTTCACTGTCAGCGTCCAGACGGTTCTGGTGAGCGGTGATGTTCATCCGTGGGTTCATCTCACGCACCGCTTTGGCCGCAACGTCCGATTTTGGTTTCTGTACACGGACGAGTTGCCAAATGTGAAGATGTCTGGGCGATTGTGCATAGAGTGATGTATTCAAATGAATAAAATGTTAATCAATGCAAAAAATACCCTAGTATTTTATGATGCTTGTATGAAACCTCTAAAGGAGAGATTTGGTAATTTATACTGTATTATTTCACCGTCTTCTATTATATAACAATAGAATCAGCCCATTTGGTCTACAGGATTTGATAAAACGTTTTGCACAAGTTGTTTAGACAGCAGCAGTTGTTCAATCAGACATTTGTGAGCAACCATTTGATATACTCCTAAAAACAACACTGCCTGAAGTGATGGAAGGTGAACGTGTAATCTGACACAAGCTGTCTTAGACTGACAATACCCCCCCTACCCTCCCCCGTGCCCCCATCTGTCCCATTAGCAAGCCCTCTGACCCTCCCACTTGACCTGGTGTAACAAGAACCAGCGGGCTATCGTGGTACGTGAGACTATGATGTCGGGCTTTTTTCTCACCCCAATATCCTGAGACCTGAACAGGAACTGCCGGTTCAAGTTGGATCTTTCTATGAAGTCCATGTCGGTCACAGTGATTTGGCCTCCCTCTCCGGCACCGAGCCCCATGAGTGCAAAGTTCTTCAAAAGCTCACATCCGATGGCACCAGCTCCAACCTTGAAAAATGAACAGAAAGACTCAGAATAGATGGCATACATCAGCTGGTGCAACAAGAGAACACCATCAAATAAAAGTGTTGCTTTACACATTAAGAAAACTCTTGATACTTTGGATCTGTTTGTCTACGTTGGTGTGTCTGTGTCGGTGTGTCTGTGTCGGTGTGTCTGTGTCTATGTTGGTGTGTCGGTGTGTCTGTGTCTATGTTGGTCTGTTTGTAGATAGACATAGATTGGTGCACCTTTAGCGGGAAACAAGAGAAACACGTGCATCGCACTTTGTCTAACAAGTACACACATACAGTGAAAGTAGCACTTCTAAAGGGAAACAGAGTTGAACGGCCCCTGAACTCCAGCTATTTCCTGCATGTGCCATCATTAACGTCAGAATGTAAACACACGTGAAGCTCTTGCGATCCCACAAAGGCCTCCTGCTGGACGAATACCAACCCTGCACTCACCAGGAAATATTTCTGCCTTTCCAGCTTCTCCTGGAATGCCGGCCCAAATACGGCAGTCTGTCCATCGTACCTTGTGCCTTCCTGTCCGGTAGGGCAACAAAAAACATCCAAGTAAATACCAATGCCGATTTGGACGTTCCTGTTTGCAGGGCGTGCGATCTCTAAGTAGGGAGACTTCCTAACCTACCGCTGCAAGGCAGTCCTCTGTCAGCTGGTCCTCGTCTTCAGGGAGGCACTCCAGTGCATCAAAATACAGCCACTGTTGAAGCGGCGTAAATTTCCCGCTACACGCCTGCAGGAACGTTGCAGAGAGCTCAGAGCAAAATACAGTCAACAAAGAGTACTCGCAGCATGTGCCAAGTTATGTAATACACAAAATACAATAATACTATGTAAAGAATTGAGAGATGACACTAATGTCCGAGTGTCAAGCATTTTTTACCTTAATAACTTCTTGAGCTGCAAGGCCTCCAATGAAAGCGTTGATAGGAGCCAGCTGGCCCTGGGCAGTGTAGGAAAGGGTTCTGACAGCAGCTTCATCCAGCTGATCCAGCTGTGCAACGGTATTCAGCTCTCCCACTATGGCAAGCAGGGAATCTGCATCTGACTGTATGTGAGTAGAAAACATCAACATCATTTGAACGTGTTCTGATAATCATCTAAGCTGTTTCTTAAAATTGTTGAACACTGTGACAGACTAATGACAGCACTGTAACATCCTGAAACCTTCACCGACCTGCGACCGCAGACGAGGGAGTCGCTGTTCTTTCCTTGCAAAGCTGTGGAGGGCTTGGAAGGCCAAGTGCAGAGTATTGTGCCTGTCTATTTTCCCATTCGTTTTCAGCAGCTTATGGTCCAATAGAGCGTCAGACAGTGGTTTCTGCAAATTATGTTATTTCATTTTTAAAAAAGTACACTTTTACAGAAGCAAAAACAAAAGAAAGTTCCAACAAAGTAGGGATGCTTACAAATTTGAGCTTGCAGGGCTGTTTAACCTCAGTCACTACTCCTCCCCGTTCATACTGAGAGAACTCTGAAGTATTGCCAATGCTGAAGAAGCATTTTCCTGGTTCTACAGGTGACACATATACAGAGAGTGAGACAAGGGAATTCTGATCACTATTGTCGGGGATGGGTGGAGGAGGCAGGACTCAAACGCAGACTTCTCAGAAAGCAAAAGACTTTAATAGTCAAAAGGCAAAAGCAAAAGGCCAAGGGGCAAAAAAAACACACAGGAACCGGGGGGACACACGGCTTAAATACACAAGGGAGGTGCAGGTGATTGGACACAGGTGGAAACTATTAGACGATCACGGGGGATGACGGGAAAAGGCAGGAAGTGAAGTTACCCGGGGACACAAGTGGCAGAAAACTAGAAAATAAGACAGGAAGTGAACCACACCGTGACAACTGTGAGTGGGAACAAAGTGACACCAACCACAGTCTTTGATCTCCACAGGGCCGATGCTGTTGAGCTCCGTCATGCCTTGGACTTCAGAGAAGATGACTTTAGAACCATTTGAAAATTCCCTCGGCAGGTCGTCTGTCAAAAACACCATTCCAGGATTGGCCTAAAATACAGTATATATTAATCACATATATATATATACATACATACAGACAGTGGAGTTATTTATGTTTTTTTATCTGTGCATATCAGGAATACCTTTCACAGTCCAAAGACTTGCAGGTTAGATGACTACTACCACTACTACCACTACTACTACTACTACTACTTCTACTACTACTACTGTTCCGCAGAAAAATTCAGCCGGATGAGCAGGTTTGGCCAACGCATGTGCCAGTAACGTCAATGGGGGGTATTACCTTGGAGACGCTTTCTATCAGCGCTGATGCCGGCTCCTCCCCGTTCTCGTCCAAGACCTCAAACTCCTCCCCAAAGTCACAGAACAGCTGACTGCAAATGAACCACCATGTTTTCCCATGTTTCTTCACTGCATTATTAAGTACATTCAAGCCTTTGTTTTCTTCTTTTTTAACAGTTTGTCTCACCCGCTTACCCACAGAGACCTTTGCTGTCCGCTACAATGAACTTGATTCCTCGGGAATGGCAGAGCTCATTAAAACGCTTCTGATCGTGCAGTGAGGAGTCAGTGAGCACCACCACCTGAAGAATGAACAATCCTCTCAATCATCTCGTGTCCATCAGTCAAACTTTTGAAAATGGCAAATATTTGCATAATCATGAACCTTTTTAGTGAGGGAGAAAAAGTGTGTGATCTAAAGAATCCCAACAAAATGTATTATGCACCTAATTGGTACAGTCTTTATGCACTGGACATGCAGTACCTGGAACTGCAGGAGCAGGTCCTCGTCCAGTGGTCCAGTGTGGGCCGAGACACGAACATGAGGGTTTAAGGCAGACAGCTGCTGCAGGGAACACGTGGCCCGATTCTGACCGAGGTTGGACTCCTTCAAGAAAAACTGGTTGGAAAATGAAATTACAGGTTGATAAAAAAAAGAGATCCCCTCAAAAGTTTAACGTTACATGATTATCATGAGCACATTTTCAATGAGAGTTAATTATCACTCACAATCAAAGTTCTTTGATAATAAGAAAACAATAAGGTAGTAATGGTAGCAGTCAAAAACAAAAGTGACAGTAAAAAATGATCAGAGGACAACTAATGACAGGCTTCAACTTGTTGTTTCCCCAACCGTCAACTCCCTTAACTCAAACTCCAAACCTCCTAAAACATTTAGGGATCATTTATTTCGACAGATGGACATCCAGAGGCGGGTACCTGGGAGGACAGGTCGGTCCACTCCGCCGGCCCTTCGTCCTGAATGGTGACCGTCTTCACTCCCGACAGGATCACATTTTTGGCGATTTCCACCCCAAGACCACGCATCCCCGCAATGAGCACGTCGGCAGTGCCCATCCGGCGCATCGCCTCGTGCCCCAAAACGTACCTGTGCAGGTAAAAAGCATGAGCGAACCCGGATGGGGCACCGAGTCTACACACTCAAAGTGGCGCTGCATTGATTTGTTTGTGTGAGTCGGCGGCTCTTACAGTTGTCGGGAGTAGAACCCTTCGTCGATTTCACCGATGTCCGACATGTCGCGCTGTCCGGTGTGAGACGATCAGTCTGAGGCGAGGGATCAGCTGGGCTGACACCTGACCAGAAACCCGCACGGGTATATAACCGGGAAGAGAAAAGAAAACCGGTCGTGACGAGTTATAAACGGCAAAGGTCGACTTTCACTTTCGTTTCAAAGTCCGAGTTTTTTTCGCTGACAGTAGTTGAGTCAGTAGTTTCTGGTCTGGCCACCAGAGGGCGACTCGGGACCGTTAAATAGCGTCATCGTCGGCGTTATTAACAGCGAAATGGAAGATGTGAGAGTGAAACATTGACTTTAAGTTGGTAAAAACGGTAGGTTTATTTTTCATTGTGGAAACGTTCTGTAAGTTTAAATATGAAATGATAAATTCTCATTTAGCTGTCGGAGCCCAAACTTTACAAACATTCTTAGACATTTTTAAGATTTAGTCTTGTATTTTACATATCGTTCCGTCCCTTGAATGCCTCATTGTGTAGAATGATGAATGAATGGAGTTTGACACTTGGAGACCTTTGTCACATTCATCTGCTGAAGTGGGAAAGTTGATCTGTTCTCACATTAAATCTGAGTTCAATACCCAGATCAATCATTGCCCAAATTCAACCTCCACTGTGTAGAATAGTCTCACTGAGGGACAGTGAAGTAAGATTTTGTGTTCAGCATTGAACGGCTAAAATAATCACTATGAGAATAACATTGAGAAAAAATGGCATCATTTTTCCCCCTTGCCTTTTAAAGCAAGTCTGAGGGGGGATCTTTAACATTTGTGTGGTGATTAACAATGAAACACGCTACTGATTTAAAAAAATCTCTCATGAGCAGTCAAAAAATGGAACTTCCACAAGAATGTTCCGCTTGCTAAGGAGTGATAAGAAATGATTCATCATTGCGTATAGAGGCAGTAAAATCCAAGCTGCCTGCGCCATTAATTGCACGGCCAATGTTGGTTTGAGTTAAACAGGGACAGACTCAAACGCTGTGCTGTGTTTTTACAATTTGTTTGTTTTCTCTGGTGGTGTAGGGCACTAAATATGGCTGTTGGCGACCTTTGGATTCAGTGGTAGATGTTCAACTCGATAATTTGCTTATTACCAATTAAAACATGGATACTTGGACATTTGCTGATGACGAATAGCCTCGTCTTTTGTGTTACAGTCAACAAGTTTGTCTACTTTGCTCCTTTCTGTAAATATTATTTAGTGTCTGGTCACGCTGCTGATGTTGTATGAGGCGACCGGAAAGGGGAGGCCTTCCTCTCAGAGGTTCCGGGCCGGACCCGAGAATGTATGAGGAGTAACTTCATTTCATCATCTGAAAGCAATGCGTTTGTTGGCAACAGTCCTACAGGCGTAGCCAGACTGCTTTCACGTGTCGAGAAGGTTTTTCCAACAAATTGACACGCGAATGAGTGGAAAAGCATTTGGTGACATGATTTCACTCTTGGGGAGGAAACGAAGGGGGTCACTTGGAAGTGCTCAGATTTCGCAACCACTTGAAACTTCCTTGTTGCGGGCGCGGCTTGAGACTTTAGTCAAGTGCGCCCGCATGACAAACGGGTTTCCGGTCTTCGTTTTCCAAAATAAAACTTAAATCTTTCTCCAAAACAGGAGAACACAGATACAACAAATTGTAGAGTATAAATTAATTGTAAATTAAATTCTGTTGCCATACAAAAAAAAAAAAGAAATACAGATAATGTGTTCTTATTGTTGTTATGGGATAACGGAGTATATGGAGAATCTGAACAACTATATAACTACTCTATTAGCGCACAGTTCTGCTTGAAGGTGAGAATGTTTACATGCAGTTACTGAATTCAAACGTGTTACTTGAACTTCATTCTGTGAACTGTAAGGTCTGATGGGTGTTTTTTAAATGTTACAGCATAAGCATAATGGCTCTTATCTATAGCAAGTTGTAAATCGACTTATTTAATGAAATTGCACTTTCTCATCTTCTGGGTTTGTATCCTTATGGTTGAAATGCACTTATTGTAAGTGGCTTTGAATAAAAGCATCAGCTAAATGACATGTGGTTTAATGTAAATTTATTATTACATAAATAATGATAAAGGCGTCATAGTCAATATTATCATAGGCTTGTATTACCAACAAATTCTGTTTGTAAACAAAATTTGAATTAATGCAATTTACTTAGAATGCTATTGCCATAATTACACTCTGCACATAATGACTTTTATTTTGAAGATAGTGTAAGATCCGTTTTTCTTTAGTTAAATCTGCAGACTTTATTTTATGCCGAAGCCTTCGTTTATCACCAGGTTAAACTCGGTGCCAGTGGGACTCAGGTGGTGTCAAGTGAGAAGCTGCTGCGGGGCATTGAGTGGACCTTCACTAACCGCTAATTTATTTCGGAAATAATTCACATTTGGAGACTTCTGGACAAATCACGACATTCAGCCCTTGTCAAAGTGAGGTAAGAAGATTTATTTTTAAATAGCTTTTGTTTAGGAAGGTGTCCAGGGGAGCTATTTGTCAACGTTAATGAATGACTGAGAACACTTACACATAATTTACAGCTCATCACCTACTTGCACCATATGTGTAATTAAGTTACGATCAATCCGAATTTGTTATTTGGACGGTGTTGCTCAGCGGACGCTAGTCACTGATTTGAACATTTTGAAATGGTTTTCGATTCCACACATGTGTATTCAAACTCTGACATGATGATAATACCATTTGCATAAATGAGTAACCATGAATTGTGTCATTTTTAATTTGGACTCCATCATGCTGTTGCTCTGTTTACTCTTTGTATTTGTTCTGGAGGCCTGAACATTTCGCTAGTTACTCAACATGTTGCAGCAAGTCATGTCTTGCCCCCGGTATATTTCAACTCTACCAACTAGTAATTTTTTGGGCTTCATAAGCTCAATAGCTCAATAAGTTTCACAGCCACGCCGTATCTGTGAGGGTTATTTTTCCCCAAAAAGCCATCTGCTGAGTCCCAGGTCTCAGCAGCTCATACTTTTTCCTCTTCTCTCGGTGTCCCATGCTGCTTTTCTCGGTTTAAACAAGCTAAACTGTTTACAGTATCCACTCGAAAGCAATGGATCCCCGTTGAAATGTTACAGCTCTAACAGTGTCTGTTAAATCTCATCATTCCGCCTGTGTTCTCCCTCACAGAGCCCCTGCTGCTTCTCCAGAATGCTCCCTTTGAGGAAAATATCTTCTAGGTGATACTCGGTGGGCTGTGACGTGGAGATGTTCACTTGTGCTGCCTTGCTGATACTATGCATATGGATACAAACACAAACAGCCTCGGGACAGCGCACGTGTGTTCCTCCTACTCCACAAAGGCCGGAGGATTTCACTGTAAAATACTCCCTCCCTCACTTCCAGATGGACAAACCCATACAGAACATAGCGGTAAACTGGGAAGATAATCGGCCCGACGTGTATGTTGCGTGTCAGAATGTAATCAAGGCAGTCAGCTATGATATGGAAGAAATCTGGGAGGTTAAAACTGGACCCGTTGGCAGTCCTGACTGTTCCACCTGTGGGTTGCGTGACATGGAAATAGATTCTGGGGATCCCGTGGATACGGACAACGAGGTTCTGCTCTTGGATCGGTTTATATATCCCTCCCCCTACTTGTACTTTTGTGGGAGCACTCAACATGGGATCTGCCACTTCATCGACACCGGCTCTCCGCAGCCCGAGCCGAAGTGTTTATACAAAAACAGCTCCGTGACCAGCTGTAAAGACTGTCTGGCCAGCCCCCTCGGCACCAAAGTCACCATCGTTGAGGAAGGACAAACAGTGGCCTTGTTCGTCGCGTCTTCTGTCAATGAACGAGTGGCACAGAGGTACCCGAGGAGGTCGATATCCGTGGTCAGGCCACTTTCAACTGAGGATGGGTTTCACTTGGTGACGAATGGCCTGACGGTGCTCCCCGGTCTGCAGAACTCGTACAAGATTGATTACATCTACAGCTTCTCCACCGAGGAGTTTGTCTACTTCCTGTCGCTGCAGAGGGAAGACCCTTTCAAGAGCACCTCGCCTTTTCAGACTCGTCTTGGACGACTGCCGAAACGAACCCCGGAGGTGTGGATGTACAGAGAGTTGGTCCTGGACTGCCGCTACGAACCGAAGCGCCGGAGGAGACGAAGCGAGAATTTGAAATACATCGTGTACAACGGGCTACAGGCGGCCCACTTTGGTCGCATTGCGAAGGACTTGGCAGTAGAGCTGAGGGTGAAAGAGGCGGAGGACATTCTGTACGGGGTGTTCGCAGAAGTGAATGCGCGCGGCGAGCCCAAAAAAAGCTCAGCCCTGTGCGCCTTCCCTCTGACCGATGTCAACCTTGCCATAGACATAGGTGTGGAGGTCTGCTGCAAGCGGAGCCCGGAGCAGCTCTCTCGAGGTCTCTGCCACTTCCAGCCGTGCGAGAGCTGCCCACATGAAGTGAGTAATTCCTGTTTTTGTCCTTATTTTCATGGCAGACCGTCGTCATAGCAGAGAAACAGGACAACGGGCCTCCTGTGCCCAGACAGGAAGTGACCTATTCTGACACCGTACACTGTTTAATCAAGTCACCTGTGATCGAAACGATGTAGTTTATCATTAAGCGCATTAAGTGTCTTATCGTCCTACTGGGCGATGGGGGATAGTATGAAGTGATTCTTGACTGCTGGAGCGGTTCGTGCCTCCGGGCCGCGGTGAAGGTGTGTGAGAGGCCACATCAGACAACTGGGAGGGGCGGATGAGTCAGTCGTCTGACCTGAGCGTTGCCACACCGTTTCTCCACTCTGTTGAGTTTCAGTATTTCTGTGTGAAAGGGAGGCAACTGTTTACAGTACAGAGATTTCATCTGAAAACTCCTTTTTATCAAGATTAGAGACTCGATGATAAGGCTAAATTGGATTCTTACGCTTGCTACAATTTTTCAATTTTTTGTTGGAATATAAAGAGGGCTTGGTGGTTTGAATCTAAACCTGAAACAAAACGCAGGGTTTCAGTCTCAAAACACCGCCATGAAACATGTGCATACGGCTGTTGCGCTTGACAGAATGATAAAGGTGTGGCCTTTTCTTTCTTGTGGAGTTCCAACCGTGTCCTTTTGAGCTCTTGCAGCCATGTGCACCGTAATGTGTGCCAAGAAACACAAGTTATAAATCCTGCTGATAAAAAGGTGGAATTCCAAGGGGAGGGACGGTGTAAGACTGCCTGGCTTACACGCGTGTTATCGAGGCAGGAAATTGCTATAATATTGAAAAAGTAAGGGATGGAGAGAGAAGAATCTATGAATGAAAAAGGACATTGTACCATGTATTCAGGCGTCAAATGCAGAAATAGCAATTGGAAAAAGTGTAACGTAATGAATGTCGAGCAAACGGGGTGAGAGGCGGGGCATGCTGGGGCAGGTCAGCTGAACGGCTTTGCAGTGGAATGTGTACCGGTTGTTTAACATATCCACTTTGTTATTGCTTTTTATCACACCAAGTAACTCGTGGCCTACCAACCACCCACACACATCACTGCTGTGCGTGTTTCAAAGTATGGAAAGTCCAGTTTCGGTACAGGGGACTGCGCACCGACGCTCAGTCACCGAATCAACATATGGAGTCCCGAGGCAATGCGGTTTTATGACGTTGTTCCTCTAACAGCTTGTTACTGTGTGACTGGAGGCGAGGCTGCATAGTGCTCCCTTCCCAGAAGGACACTCGCCCTGACAGGGAAAGATCCTACGGGTGCGTGTGTGTGTGCGTGTGTGTGTGTGTGTGAGTGTGTGTAGGTGAAAAGTAACACTCTTGTTTGTGTTTCTCCTGCTTGCACAGGGCTCTGAAGGTAGTGACACTTGCAGCGCCGAACCCACTCTCGTGTCAAAGCCTTACTACAGAGTAGACGTCTTCGACAGGCAGATGAGTGACGTCCTTTTCACTTCTATCCTGGTCACCACTGTTGGAAATCACACGCTGGGTCACTTCGGTACCTCAGATGGCCGCATACTGCAGGTAGCAGCATGGAACAGTAATTAAGGGGTTTACTTCAGTTTATATATATATATATATATATATATATATATATATTTTTTTTTTTTTTTACCAAGTGTCTTCTTCAGCTGTGACAAAAAACATGATTTTGAATGGCTACACATAAAAGTGTTATTGTTAAACTACATGAGCCAGAAGCATGTGTGTGTACTGAGACTACTAATGAAATGACTCTGTTTTTTCTGGTTCAGGTGATTCTTGCTCTGTACCAGCCTATTGTTTTTGCCAACTACTCTCTTGGAGAAAACAAAGTGTCCAGGACAGCAGAAGTGTACTCAGACGAGTCCCTTCTCTTTGTGGTGGGAAATAAGGTACATTTCTTAATACCTACTGTCAGAACCAATGTGTTCCACAAGTTTTACAACCTGCTCACTACTATGACACCAGTACCAAAACAAGTTACGTATGAAGTACAAAAAGGGCAGCATCCTTAATCAGCTGCAGGACACATGATACATTATGTTCTCCATGTAGCCCAAATGACTCAAATGTGTTAAAAACATTAACATGAATCATCTCCTGGATGATGAAGAGGATGCATGTTTCCTGCTTAACTTTTGACTGTTTTTCTCCATTACATTGGCTTAATGCACCCGTGTCTTCTTCTGTCCTTCATCTAGATGTTCAGGGTGCCCTCTGCAGGACCAGGGTGTGAACATTTCATGACGTGCTCCGTGTGTCTGACGGCTCCAGACTTCATGAACTGCGGCTGGTGTTCAGGACTCTGCAAGAGGGAGCATGAGTGTCTCAAACAGTGGAACAACGACTCCTGTGCACCCGTCATCACAGAGGTAGATCTGCAGCCATGTGCAACTGATTACTCATGCACTCATCAGTCTATAACGTTAGAACACAAGAGGCCTCATGCAGCTACAACCTAAATTTCAGCGATATTTAGTCATATTTTCTTGACCATACATATCTGCTCTCACGCAGGTGTGCAAAATGATGACTCAAACTTAATCATTACATGGGGGCTTCTTTGCGCTATACATTGGCGGGTGTTGTGCCGTGTGCAAATACTCAAAAGAACTACATGCAAAACAATTAGGAGGGATGCTATCCGTAAAACATCCAGAAGATGAAAGCCCACAATATAATCCAAGGGTTTTATAGTTTTAATTTAAACTTGTGGTTTGTGTTTATTCAGACAACATATGTAATAATCCCCCCAAAATTCTTTAAAACATAATAATGATTCAAAATGTTGTGTTTTTCTTAAATTTAAAAAGCATGTTTTCTTACATTAGGCAAACATTTTGTAGACTGTATAAAAGATGTTTTACCTCATCTTGTTAAGAAAATAAGTAAAAAAGTGGTGAATTATGCCAGCAATTTATAGGTACCGACAACGAAAATAACAAACCGCTGAAATGAACAAAAATAAGTGCCCCTTTTCCTGCATGAATAGTACTGATTAGACTGAGATGCTTCTTTCCCCTTTTTTCTCTGCAGTTTTCCCCTAAAACAGCACCTGCTGGTGCTGAGACAGAAGTGACATTGTATGGCTGGGAGTTCCAGTCTCCCCTGCGACCCGCCATCATCAGCGGCAGGACCCACATCGTCACGGTGGGCTCTGGGACCGTGTGCAGCGTGCTGCCCAAAAGGAGCAGCAGTGAAGTGTGAGTTGCATTCACGCACACGACGTCAGACACGTTTCCTTTCCTCAGGACCTCCGGCATGAATGCACGGATCCATTTTACGCTCCCATACTTTTTAATTTAGTTATTCGATCTGGGATGATTGTTGATTTGTTACAATGTTTCTAATTATGGGTTGTGGCTGGATAGTCTCAACATAAAACAGCAATTCTCCTCCAAAACTAAATAGAACAAAATCGTTGAAACATTTTCTGTTGTTGACTATTTCTTTTTGTTGTCTAATCTTCTTATTGAATTCATAAATGTCATTCCATGTTTCCTTTTAACGCAGTCTAGTATGCAAGATTCGGGAAAACACACCAAAACAGAACCTCAACATCACCCTGGAGGTCCACGAGGGGGTCAAAGCCAAGCGCTGCTACTCAATCGAAGGAACCTCACAGATTCCCGGCTTCTCTTTTGTGGTAACATTGGGAACATTTATGTAATTTAGTTTTCAACCCAATCATGGAGTTCTTTGAATGGTCTTTATTCATATATGTATATATATATGAGCGGTGTGGTAATACTTCCCCTCCGTCCGACCAGGAGCCGAGATTGATCGGATTCCGGCCTGAACACGGCCCTGTGTTTGGAGGGACGGCGGTTACACTGACAGGAAGACATCTGGATTCTGGGACGCAGAGAGACGTCTTCTTTGCTGACAAGAAGTGCAACATCCAAAGGTGAGCAGGATAGAATCTTTTGCTAACACAGGACTTATGGTCTATGACGCATTTGTTTCACTGTGTTTTCAACCTTTTTTCCAATGACGTTTCTCTCTTTTCTTTTCAGCGTTCGCAAAGAAAGTGGGACTTCTTCGATTGTCTGCCTTACAGCAGCCGCAGTCCGTGTCAGCGAGGTACCCGTGACGATCGTCATTGACAACTTTAATGTGACCACCACCAAGACGTTCTCCTACAAGAAAGATCCCGTTATAACCGCTGTACATCCTAATTGCAGTTTCCAAAGGTTAGGATCCCGATCCCAGTCCGCTTGTGTCCAAATGAGGTGGACTCTAAAACCGCCGGCCGTTGCTTACACACATCATAACACACTGCACATTTATGTTGTCACACAGCGGCTCCAAGCTGGTGATAGAAGGTCAGAATCTTGACTCCGCCCACAGGACTGTGGTTGAGTACACGTCCAAAAATCTCAACATACAACGAGTAAGTAACGCTTTGGTTTTATTCTTTTAGTCACATAAAGAGAACATCAATTAAACTACTTGTTACATTCAGACTGGGTCACACCTGTTTCAGCAATGAGTTACCAGTCATTTTCATTCTATTTGTTTCAACGTGTCTATATACACTGTATACAAACTGCTGTTGTGATTTTGAGCAAAGGCAACACATAATGGGGGTATTTCACTTTAGATCTGCAGCGGCACAAGTAATGCCACACATTTGGAGTGCTGGGCACCTACTTTTCCAGAAGAACTGCCTGAAGAAAAGTCCGACACAGGAAGCCTTTCTATTTCCATGGATGGGAAAAGGAACCTTTGGAAGAAGCATTTCGAATACCACCCTAATGCGCAGATCATTCCTTTTGAAAATGATGACAACGAATTACTTCTGAAACCAGGAGAAACGGAGGTCTCACTGCACGTGAGTTGCGTACACGCTCTGCGATTAAGCATTTAAGTTTTGTCGTATTGAAATCTCAATACCAACAATGTTTTCTTCCAACAGCATAGCAAACTGAATGCAGTACATCCATGCATGAAGATCACGATGACCATCGGCGGTGTGGACTGCAACGTCAAGGTTCTGTCAAATGAGCTGACGTGCAGGATAGCAAAAGGCCGGGTTATTCCTCAGGAGGGGCTTCCTGTGGAGGTGGGAGACTCGCCGACATTTAACCCCAGCGACTTTGTAACTCGTTAAAGCGTACGTACCGAGACTCATCGCGTGTTCCATCAGGTGTCCGTGAACGGGCGAGCTCACGCCGTGGGTAAAGTCGTCCACGATGACGGCAGCAACAACAACACTGTCATTGCGGGAATTGTGATGGGCATCATTGCCGCATCAGCTTTAGGTGCTGGCGTCGCATTAGGCGTGATGATCCATTTGAGGAAGAAAAAGAGAGGTAAGGAAAACACTTGCATTTCCTAATGGTCTGTTAACTATAACCCCCCCCCCCAAAAAAAACTGTCATTTTTGCTTGTATGACTTTCTTTACTGCTTGTTTTCCTAATGTTCTACGCAGTATTTTAATTCATCGTATGTATCCTTTTAGCCAACATAGAGAATCGTTTGTCAACAATGCTTTCACGCGACCGAATTGGCAGCGGCCGTGATATCTCTCCGACAGGGGACTACAGACGAGGTCAAATATCCAAATTCATTATCCGTTTTTACTATAACTTTAATTCAACAGCTACTAACTAGTGATTGAACACTGGCTTTTTTCACTGTAAGCGAAGATCGCATCCCGCGATGTAGTTTGTCCGTTGAGAGCAACGAGTGATGCACTCGGTAACGTGGCTGTGTGTTTGTCTTGTGTACTGCAGTGGATCTGTCCAATCAAACATCGGGTTCGGGGGGAATGGCGTTCCAAGGGTTGTTGTATGCGGCAAGCAACGACCATCTGTCCATTCCTTTAATGGCCAGGGAGAATATCTCAATGGTCAGTCTGAGCTCTGAACTTCTTGAAGAAGTCAAAGACGTTCTGATCCCGGCTGAGATGCTTCGAATTGAGAACAGCCAGATAATCGGAAAAGGTAAAGCTCTCGTCTTATGCGTTTGTCGTCTTTTGTTCCCTCCTTTGAATACACAATAACCCAGTTTTCTCCTTTTTCAGGCCACTTTGGCACAGTTTACCATGGATACCTGATAGACAGCAAACAGCAAGAGACCCACTGCGCTGTCAAGTCCCTGAACAGTACGTCAGCAGCTGTTTTGAATGAAATAAATCCGGCCGTTTGTTCAATCTGAACCTCCGTCTGTCTTGTACGAACAGGGATCACAGATTTGAGGGAGGTGGACCAGTTCCTCAGAGAGGGCATCATCATGAAAGGTTTCCACCACCCTAACATTCTGTCTCTGCTGGGCATCATGCTGCCCAAAGAAGGGCTCCCCCTGGTGGTTCTGCCGTATATGAAGCACGGAGATGTGCGTCACTTCATCCGTTCTGAGAAAAGGGTAAATTGCGCAATGAGGCTTTCTGGATATTTCTTTTGTAAACAATTAAAAAAAAAAAAATTGGATATTTTTTATCCTTTGGAAAATGGGTGTTGACAAATTCCTCCTTCGCAGAACCCAACAGTGAAAGACTTGATTGGCTTCGGGCTTCAAGTTGCCAAGGGGATGGAGTATCTAGCACAGAAAAAATTTGTCCACCGAGACCTGGCAGCACGTAACTGCATGTGAGTGTGAATCATACGCTGATTACACGCCTGTGACACGAGCTTTGTCACACCAGTACGTGATGTATCACACAGATACTTATGGCTTTTGGAAATAACTGTATCAATATAACGTCATATTTTTCCATTACATTACATTTTAGGAAGAACACATTTTTGGCTGTCTTGGAGAGAGAGACGCGTCATCGAGATATGTGTCATGTTAACAGGAAGTGGCAGAGAGATACGTTTTCTTCCGGTGCCTTTTCTTTCCAGGCTCGATGAGACCTTCACCGCTAAGGTGGCCGACTTCGGCATGGCGAGGGACATCTACGACAAGGAGTACTACAGCATTCAAGATCACAAACGGGTGAAGCTGCCAGTGAAGTGGATGGCCATCGAAAGCTTGCAAACACAAAAGTTCACCATCAAGTCTGATGTGGTGAGTTTTCTTTATCGAGACTACTGCGATGAACGTCTTACATCCCATCCCATACCTGCAATATGTTGCACTTCTGTTTCCCAGTGGTCATATGGCATCTTAATGTGGGAGCTGTTGACCAGAGGTGCCAGCCCGTATCCAGATGTGGACCCGTACGACATCACACACTACTTGTTGAAGGGACGTCGGCTTCCCCAGCCACAGTTTTGCCCCGATACTCTGTAAGCGTCACACCTTCCCTCTGTTATATCAGCATCTTAACACAGTTTTATCTCAATTAAATACGTACCTACTGACCGCTCATTCACTCATTGACACGTTTCTTCATTGCACAGCTACTCTATAATGCTGACGTGCTGGGACCCGGAGCCCGAGTGCAGACCGAGCTTCAGCAGCCTGGTAACAGAAGTGCAGCACGTGCTGTCCTCTCTGGTAGGAGAGCACTACATAAATCTGAAGGTCACCTACGTGAACTTAGACCAGCTACGGGCCTACCCGTCCCTCACTGGGTCTGCAGATGAGGCCGAGGCCTCGGACACGGACACAGACGGTGCTGCTGGCAGCTGAGGATGCAAACCTGCACACATTTAAGGTCGATTGAAAAGACGCTGTAGGTACGACGGACGGAGCTGAGGCGAAGCCATGCGGGAAATTCCCCATCCTTGTTACTACGTTTTGTTTGTGATAAAATGAATGTGAGGTGTGCAGTTGTTGATGTTAGACTGCGTGCTATTATAGGTACATGCATCCAAGACCGACTGTTAGACACCGTCAAAGTGTCAAATTTCTGTTTTATTACACAATTTTCCTGCTATATGGGGAGATGACAAAGATGAAATCTCTTCATATAGGAAACAGAATGTGTACTTTAATACAAAGAACATGTGAAATGCGCAATCACTCAATGTTCTCAGATTTATAGCCATTGATAATTTGGCAAAAGCTCCTCACCTGCGGAATTAAACAGTAAACTTGCCACTAGAGGGCAACCGACGCCTTCTTCTTCCTTAATTAAACACGCTTCAGTCGCTGCTGCAGTGCAAGGTGCCTACTGCAGCCCGCTCTACACAAATAGGTTACACAAACAGTGCCACTACAATGTATTTATCTTAACAAACGCAATCATTTCAACCAAATCAACACAGCATAACATTCTGCCCTTCCATGCAATTGCAATGCTCTTCACAGCAAATTAAACAATCTATGGGATTTTAGAATTAAGCACTGATTTGTCAACGTTCCCGGCTGACGCTGTTTTTTGAAATAAAATGATGTTGACCAACAATCTTTCTCCCAAGTGGTAATAAAATTGGTTCATCGCTGCTTTTTCCTCTCTGATGTTTCTCACTCAAGAGTGTTTTTGCGGAGATAAATGGTTGATGAATGTCGAGTAAAGGGCCGTCAACAAATGAAAGTCTCCCTTTATTTGCCTGTTATACTATTTACAAGAAAAATCCAAACAAGATAGTTCTTCCCAAAAGGAACTTAGCTAAAATTTCATTAATGTTTTTTTTATTTTCTGGAAAAAATATCAATCGCTACAGCAAGACCAGCCTTAATAAAGCACAACATGCCAGTGTGGATGAGAACTACACACAGTGCTAGAGGTCGGACTTAAGTGAACACTGCATGCGTCTGTCTAATATTTGTAATACTCCATGAATAAGTTGTGGGTGGCAGAAGGGATGATAGGCTCTACTTGTATTCTGCTAAAGGTTCTGGATTTGAAAATAAGGCGACGTCTGTAGCGTAAACTACCACAGCGTTTGAGATTTGCCATCCGGACGTCAAATAATGAAAAAGAAATCACTGACTTATATGAGATTGTTTAGTGTTTGTGGACTGCGTATGATGAAGAAGAGGCAAATAGTGGGAAATAAGAGGTTAGTTAATTCATCAACAACCGTGACACAAAGTCTCGAATGGTCTTTTTACTGAATTGTCCTGCAATCTCACAATTAACTTCTCTTACGCCTCTGGGATTGAAAAACGCCAGTAAAACCTGACTGCAGACTGTGAAAAACAGCACTGTAGAATCAAAACAATATTTTACCTTTGTTTTGATCAATCAGTTGATTTTTTAATCTCTTATTTTAGTTTTTAGATTTGTTTCGTTGACACATTGTCCCGCTCTTGTTCAGGATTTGATATGAATGGAGAAAACAAACGTTGTACGGTTCAACTTCCTTGTTTGAACCAGTAAACAATTGTGTTTTTAGGGAGTAGAACAATTCTCAGAGGTAGTTCTGGGCCTCTTGACGCTAATTGCCTTTGTAGGGTTCGTACATTTATTTCTGCACACATTGTGCTAAACTGTTGGGACAAGCAAGGAACAGCTCGAAAAATAATGACAAAATGACAAACGTACCCTAAAAGTCCCGCCGCACCTTCACCGAGTATAAGATGTATTTATTCACAAGCACCACATATTTTGCTCTCTATATTACACAGACTCACACACACACACAATCTACACCCAGTAACACAGTGAGGCGGAATAGCTGCACTGAAACCAGCTCAGAACAGATCCCAGAAGTGTCTGGTCTAAAATTCCTTTTGCTTTCTTCAAGTGTACATATTTATAAATATTTTACACTTTTATTTCACACTGCCCCGGTTTTGAAGCGGGGTTTGGTTGTGATCCGCGAAGCTGAAAATATCATCCGGCAGCTGTTGTGTGATCCGTGACAAACTGGACAAGAGAAAATGAATGTGCCTCGCTGTTTACTCTCAAGACTTGTGCACATTTCTCCTCAACAGACTTAAGGGGAGAACACACGATCGGGACAGTGAATTAGATCTCTTTGTCATTTTTAACAATACATTGTCTATTTTTTTTTAGCTAAAGTGATGAATATTGGAAAAAAGGACCACTGCTGTGAAAGTGTTCATTTTGATCTGGATGTGCATGTTGAAGATCAAACATATGTGGCAGTCGCAGGTATCAGATGATCTGCACCACTAAGCACAAACTGGCTTAATGAGTGAGTCGAGTTGAGCCTTCAACAACTATAATTACTAGTAGAATTTAACATTATGTTTCAGTGAATAATAAACCTATATATGTATTTGTTATTTTGCATTCCCATAAATCACAATTTTCTCGGAATATAAATGTCCGGAATCCTTTTTTTTCTTAAAAGCTTAACGTCCTGTGCAAAATAGCGGGTTTGTAGTCTTTCTTACACTTTCGTCATCTGGATTGAATCCGCTATCCTTGAGCTTTTATCAGTAGATACCTGAATAGTGAGGCGATCTTCCTCCCTCTACCTTGCTCTTCTTCATTGTTGCATTGCATTCAGAGGGAGGATGACGCGCTGGGAGGTCACTTATAGAGAGAGTGTTGTGTTTGTTCCCGTCTCTCTCTCTCTGAGTGAATGTCTCCACCGATGGGATTATATTGAAAAGCAAACAGAGATTCGCAGAGCAGTGAAAGTGCTTCAGAGGCACAAGGCCACACAAGGCCCATGGCTTTCTGTATTTGTTAAGACAAATTATTTCCATCGTCCATCTTGTTATCAGCCTGCCAGGCTATTTTTGCAGTTTATAAATGCACAGTTTGTTGGTGCAGAGATTCACGTTATACACGCAACATACCGAATATGTTCTAAATATCGAACGTTATCAAAATGCTATAAACTGGCTGTCAAATATGGAATGATCTTTACACACACGAGGTGTGTAGAGTGATGTCACCTGCCTGTTTCCTTTCCGCAGCAGAAACATTGACGTTTGCTGTTTATAACTTGCTTTTCACACTAATAGGAAGAACACTTTGTGTATGTGAGCAATTACTGCACCGATATGGAGATGAATGCCGCTATCATACCGCTCTGTCAGGAGCTGTGTGGCCGCAATTATTTCATGTTTGTAGTTTAAAAAATACTCAACAGTGTGTCACAGGTTTCCGTACCTGAGATGTAGAGTAAAGGCAAATCGTTCAGTCTCTTCCCGTCTGTGTCGTACTATGTGGTTTCAGGCACATTGAACAAACATGTCCAGTGTTTAATTTAATTACGAGGAGTTGTCATGATTTTTTAACTCTACATTAATGGTCAAAATAATTTTTAACAGGTTAGAATACAATCCAGAAAACTAAGGCGAGAGCCATTTCTGTAATCAATCCGGCAGAAAGTATTAACACATCAAAGTGACTCTAATTAAACATCAGTATATGGTAACTATGAACAATGCCTTCGATAAAATGAGTTAAAATCAAGAGGACTTGAAGCCTTTGACCTGCAATGGGAAGTTGCATCAGAATGTTTACTTTGAAGTTAAAACACGCTCACCCTTGAGCTCCATCACCCCTGAGAAATAACAGTGTTGTAAGATGCTCAAATCTGTTCCAGCAGCGGACGTTTAACTGCTGTGTCAAAGCCATTGAGCAAAGAGAGAGATCATGAACATGGAAGGATCCGAGTTTTCTAGATCTGGTCCAAACAAAGCCTGAGCCCTCATGCCACCCATCCGCTAAATGACGCATTCAGCCATATTTCAGTGGATGTTAACAATCGTGTCGTTGTGTCTTCAATGAGAGAAGCAATAATCAATCATGCTTTGCTTTCGGGCTTGTAGAAAAGGTGGATACGAGATTGTCTGTTGTGCTGACCCGTATTTGTCTTTGTCTTTGTCAAAAGCCCTGTTGTGGTTTAGAAGCCTGTTGCTATGACAACCACCATTTAATACCAGTGGTGTGTAGGAAGGCATAGAGGTATGGGTGCAAAATTAGCAAATGGCTTCATGCATGTTTTATAATCTATTCACAATTTTCACATGTGTGTTTGTGTCGGGGTAATGAATTAAACGAGTAAATAACATTCATTCATGCACACTGGGTCCTATCTTCCCATGATTAATTCAAGGACTGATATACTGTATACGCTTCAAAGTGAATACTTTACCCTGGGTACATTGAAAACATCATTCCATTCAGTAACTCACTGATTTGTATATTGGACTCATCCTCCGTATGGAGATGAGGTAGTGAGCCACATCTCTCAGGAAAATCAGCATCAGCCCAGTTCCTGTAAGTGCGTTATTCAAATGACACATGTGTTTCCGTCAAAAGTTATTTATTGATTAAAGACAAGTTAATGTTTCCAAAGTAACCGATATACTGTACCTGTTATAACTGATGTTGGCACAATCAAATGTGGATTTACCTTAATCATCACAGTACATAGGTCTTAATATTAAACATGATTATGAACAAATTCTTAATTCAGAGACAGGCAGAAACTACATCCACTACTACATGATGTCTAAAATGAGGCAACTTTACTTTTTGGGATATCAGAAATATAAAGTTCTGCAAAAACATAACTGTAAAATCTGCAAAGGCTATTTCTTTCAAACCATGTATATAACAGAGTCTAAACCGTAATAGTTTTGCATCAGTTGTAAACTGAAAAATAGCACCACTGTTTGTTAAAAGTGGATAGTGTGAGTACAAACCCACAGACAGACCTCATAAACTTTGATGCAAAAGAGACAGAGAGACCCTCGTAATTACAATGATGTGAAACACATTCATTTGTTGCTGAAAAATGTGCTAAACTAGTTTGTAACCATTGAATTGTACTTATTTTATTGTTAAGACATCGGTTAAAAGTTCTCGTATTACACGATGTTTTGTAAAATGTAGCCAATTTCTCATTTCAATGACGTGGATTGTTATTTGACGCAGAAATCCGAGACACGCCACCGAAATACGTTACAGGCTTGATGCACATTATGGACATCCGGTCTCTGTGTTGTTGTAGCTATGGTAACCTCGTAGAGCACCAAATGTTCTCCCTGAAGTGTGAGGTATCATCTGTGACACTGTGCCTCCTCCCTGTGGGAAAGAAAAAACTGTATAAATTCGCATGACTTTGACAACTATTGAGATGACTTACTCCGAGAGGACCAATTCACCAAAATTCCATCACATTATTAGAGCTAAAATGTTGGTTTGGTTTTCTTCCTGAGATATATTTCCAATAATGGGGGGATTAAAATCCCATTATTGGCCATTTTCACAAATGCAGCATGCCTTTCTAGAAATACTGTCACACTTTTAAACTGGGAGGATACAGAAAACACGACGAGCTTCTTCAATAGACTATTTATCTTATAGATAGTGATGCAATTAATTAGAAAACACTTGATGAAACAACTCAAGCAAGCAGCTGCATTTGCAAAAAGAAATTACACAAATGTTATTATTCTGAAATGTATTACATTACACCTATTAGATTCAAACCCATGTAGGAACAATCCCATAGAGTAGAAGATTAAAATGACACGTTCCAGGTAGTCATTACTCCTCTATATTCTTTAAAGCAGACGTTGGCCAGCAGTATTAATGCCATCAAAGCAAAATGATTACACGTCTTCTTCAGTAGCACTTTTCTGTGGCTGAAACCTTCTTTTACATGATTTGTTATGTTAAATTATTCTGATGTATGTTTGATGTTCATGGATTCACTTTGAGCATCGATAACATGTTACTTTGTATAATTAAAACTGTTTCATTAGGAAACATTTTCAACTTCCTCTGGCCTCTGAAACGGCTTTAGTAGCTCTCAAGGTCTCCACTGATGCTCGTGAGGAGCCTGCATTCAGCCCTTCAAAGGCTCTCATCACAGACCCCATGACTATTGGTTTTGGTTTCTATGACAACTAAGTTGAAATATAAGTTGACTCATCTTTTACAAGCTTGAGAACATGAATGTGGAGAAAAAATATTTCGGTCCAAATATGCTTTCAGGGCTAATTTTGCACTGGGAAAAAATATATTAATCATATTTATTTATGAATAATCGTGAAGTGACCCTAAGACATGGTTTGGACTCTCTGATAACTTTTTTTTATACCTTTTTCAAGAATATTCCTATAAAGCAAAAATGCACCATACATTTTTAGCAGGTCTGGCTCATTTTTCCATATATAGACATACATCTATAGATAGATATAGATATCTATATAAAGATACATAGACATATACTACATGACAACACTGTCAGGGATTAAAGGGAAGAAGACAGACATGTTAAACAGTGAAGCAGGCGTCACTGGAGTCCATTCATAGACTCACAAAGGCTGGATGAACCAGACGCAGCCATGGTAACATAGGAACGAGCAGAGCATTGGTAGTTCCAGAGAAGCACAGTGAGGTACTGCCTGCGAGCTTCGTGACGCAGATTTCATATTTGCGTATGCTCCTGAATGACGGACTAAAAAGATGTCATGGGAATAATCACAACAGATAAGAATCAAATTAGAGGAATGTGCCGGATGGGACATTGGACATCGGACATAAAAGAAAGAACAAAAGCAAAAAGCTACCACAACACTGTTTTATTGGGAGGCACCGATGTTTATTTTTTTTAACCACTCGGTGGTGAAAAAATAACTAATATATTATGACGTGAAGGATCCTGCATCGCCTCAACAGCAACAGTTACCAGATTCTCATTTATCACCAGCTTAAGGTGTTGGAGGTCAAAATGTAGATCTTCTTTCAGATGACTGGCAACGCAAGCGACTGAATTGAACCGCTTAATATGTTATCATAAAGGTGTTGATTCAATAAGAACTGTGCCTGGTAAATTATGGCAAAAGAAGATCTCCTGATGGTAGAGTATATTATGTCAAAGACCGGAGAAATACGTAGGTATTCCGACAATATAACTCATTTATTCTTACGATTGCACGGACTCAATATTGATTTGCATCAACATTACATTACCCCTGAAATCTCAAATATTTTAAAATGGCCCTAAAAGTTGCTGGAGGAATCCTTGCTGTGAGATGTATTGGCAAAATAATTTACTAGCTTCTTTTCATATGGCACTAAACACTGCAACATCCGTCTCTGGAGAGGCAGTTACTATAGTGACAGTGCACCAAAATTGCGGATGTAAAAGTCAATTTAGCTGTAAGTGAAAGGACTGATCATTGGAACACATGAGAATGAAGTTTATAAAATCCTTAAATCTCTAAATAATATTTGTCTCCCAATGGGTGTATTTAAGCACTATTTTTGATTTACACATTTCTTAACTGCTTTTGGTGAATAAATGATTTCATGTCATTCTAATTTAGCAACAGCGTCACTGGGGTTATACTTATACTTTAATTTCCAAGTGTACTTTTACCTTTAAAGAAATTCCCTTTCCCCCGTAACATTCAGCTCTCCGATCCCATGTCAGATGTCACCACTGATTGACTCCATCCTCCAACGGATGATCCGAGGATTATAAACTTCCCGCTCTAAAATAATGGCCGTGCTATAAGGGAATCCAGGGCACATTTCGGATACAGAACAACCTGTACTGCGAAGACAGCCAGAGTTCTGGTGTGTGATACCGGGAGTCAGAGAAGAGCGAGTAGGTGTTTTTGTGGGTAGGTGGGGAGTAGGTTAAAGATGCTCCACCACTCTCCTGTTATCCCAATGGCCTTTCAGCGGCATTACTCATTTCAGGAAGAGCCACTCGTGTTACATAAGCCAGTGCTACAGAGTCTGGCTACCAGCTCAAACACCTGCATGGCCTCTAAATACCTGTACATCATCGCAAACGTGTCACCGATGGTTCGATTGGTTTTAGTCCTTAAAACGGCTCAGCTGCATCACTCACAGACACAAAACAGCTTTGGTATGTAAAATGTTAACATACACTCAGTGTCACGCCGGTGAAGAGGTTAAAGGTGGCAGGTTGTTACTGTTGTTTCTACTTCACTTCACCACCTCTCCTGGGAAGAGCAGGTCGCGCAACTCTGAAGAAGGCACACAGTCCATGTATGATAATATTCTGTGCTAAAGTTTAAGTTCAACTCCAGAAAGAGTGCCTTTAGTTTATTTTAGTACCGTTTTGAATCATTGTTTGTTGGTAGTTTACTTGTTTTTGCAACATATTGCATTTTCCTGTGTTTTTCTAAAACGTACTTGCAGTCATTAAGGTCAATCTCGGCCCCCGGAGTTGCTTTGCGAATCTCTTCATCTTTCTTGAATTAACTTTGATTTTGAAATATGCAATAATTTGTCTTAAATCAAATATAACCGAAATAATAAAAACGCCACTGCGCCGTTCACAGCAAAATCTGTAGCAAACAAAGACACTCATGAGCACAGAGCCATCTGTGCTTTACACGCGAGGTAAGACGCTCTTATGATGCGATAGAACGATAGAAGCCAATTCCAACTCTGAGGAAAACACACAACTTTTTAACGCTGCTCAATGGGGAAAGTGCTAAAATGACGTTACTATTCGTCAAACCATTTGCTGCACTGGCCTGCGCACGCACGCACGCGCGCACACACACACGCGCACACGGTGTATTGGCGCACGTCGCACGCACTCCTCCCCTCCTCCCTGCAGCGCGGTCAGCTGTTGCCATCGCACGTTCGCGTAATACTCGCCGTGAACAAGCGGACCTGTCGGAAATGCGCGAGGATCCTAAACCTCTCCACGAGCACGCCGACCGTCAAAGCAGGGGAAGAAAAAGTGAAGCCGCCGCAGGAAAGATACTAAAAGATCAGATTGCTGGTGATTGCCAGTTCACCTCGTTGAAGGTAAGTGGACACCATTTGCGTAATCTTTGATTCACCAACGTGGACACCAATGTCCAGCGTGTGACGTGAGCCTCATTTTGTTCAGAGGTCGGCGGACACGAAAGACGAATGATCGGCTCGGAAAACTTTTGCGACAGGGAAACATGTTCGGTCAGAACATCAGACGTGACATTCGCGTGATTTTCTTTCTTCTTCCTGCAACGTCAAATCTAACGTGTGCTATGCGCAAATGGGCTTCAGTAACACACACTGTGCATCTGCTGGAGTGCAGCGAATGCCATCAGCGCCGCGCCGCAATCACCTGTTTTGCAGCCGAAGCCAAAGTTTGCGCATATTTCTGCTCACCAACAAGTCCGTCCTCGGTGTGATTTACATAAAGCATGCGGCCGGTGCGCTCGGACTGCGGCACCTCTCCGGCTCACGTTGCGTCCGGCGGTGTCTGTGCCACTTAAGTCGTTATTTTTTGTCATCGTTTCACGCGTAAAGAGCGTGTGATTTAGTGAACGAAGCCCAGAAGGAACGGACGGCGGAGGCTGCGACATGTCGGGATATGAAGCTGCCCTTTATCTTCTGAATTTACCAAACCAAGAGAGACACACTCCAGGTCATGCCAGGTCATTCCTTGCAAGAGCTGCTTCCGTTGCAAATTTTAGCATTGGGCAAAATGCACACGGATCAATCACTTGGCGACACGTTAATAGTGTAACATGCATGTAAACTGTGTGAAAAGTTTGGGACGCCTGCTGCACTGCAGGACTCTCGCGTTGCAGCCCACTGACAACAGGAAAGCCTTTGCAGGAGGTTTATAGACACTATTGGAAATATTCAAGATCTAATGTTTAAGTAACCTTGTGGTGATATAACCCCTGATTTATAGTAAACTGCCACACGCTTATCTATTTTTTCTCTTCCCCCTTATGATGGTTTGTTCCAAGAAACAGTGAAAGACATCATTGACGGAGGTCTTATTTGAATGGAGTTTCAAACCTTTTGTTTACGTAAAGGGTATCACACTAAATGTAATCCGTGTGTGTCATTGGGCCGCATAGTTAATAAGCGCATGTGTCCATCAGATAGCTGGGCCACACCGGGTTTTCAGACGTATGGTAAAATAAATGCAAAAAAACGATTATCCGTTATTATTATTCTGGTTCGCATTGCGGATTTTGTTTGGTTTTCTGTGTTTGAGTTCAGATCAGTGGACCCAGTGGCAGAAGTGTCTGTGAGTACGCAGCGAGCTGTTCGGCACAGACGGTGCCACGGTGCATACAGTAGCACTTGGTGACCATGGCAACAAAACAACATCAGAAGAAACTGGTCAGATCAGCCAGTGATGCCCGAGAAGAGATGAATGGTGGAGTCGAGCACAAAGAAGGACTGACTCACGCTTCATCAAAACGTTCTTTTTCTTTTGGACACAATTTTCTTCTTCTGCCCAAGTCTGATATTATGTCCTTGAAAATTTGAGGTGTGAATGTGTTCTTTGTGTTCACAGCTAGAAAGTGCGACATTTAAGCCATAAATGAGGCATTACAGGCTTCTCAAACTGGCTCAGACACCCCCCCCTCCCCCCCAAACCACCATCTGCCCCGGGTCACCAGGCCGCTCACTTTGAAGAGGTTCAATCCTCTCTCTCGTCTGACACGACTTCGAGCGGCAAACCTGCAGTTCTACAATAGCTAAATAACAACATTGTTACCAACGCATCGTGTGTTGCTGGTGAGCAAAAGCCACAAGTTTGCTTCTCAACGGCGCTGGAGCCCACCAGCTAGCAGCTAAATAATAAAAGCTTTTTTTTTTTTCATCAAATAGAGAACATGCATCACATCATTTGTAGTAAATGAATGTCACTCTGCTCTCAATTAATGTGTGCGTTTTATATTTGATTCATTGCCTCTTTCAAGCCACCTGAAACACCTGATCAAATGGGAAAAGAGAGACATTTAGTCCGCTGTGCTCGTCATGGTTGATGTTGGATCTAATAGTGGGGATTCGTAAATGTCTCAGTGCCAAAAACAGTCTGTGGCCCAACGCCATGCATCACAACCACACCAGGATAAGAAGAGTCACAAAATAATGAATTCCATCATGACGTTATGAACTGCAAACATGACATTACGCAACCATTTATCGTTCATATTTTAATTATTTGCATCTCTATCTCTGAGCTATCTCTTGACTACAGCCTAAACCGTATGAACATCCGGTTCCAGTCTCACTAGAAGAGTTTTTATCAAATTAGATCACGTTGTTCGGGCTTTGTCTCTCCTCCGGGCGCGTCTACGTTTTCATAATGCCGAGCTTTGCGACAGTCTGAATTCAGAAGAGGACTTAGAGTCCCATTAGTGAAGAAGACTTCATTCAGATCTCTCAAAAGGCAAAGATAAAAGAACCCTGATTCAGCAATACTTCAGTGTTACCTACATTTTTTTAAAATATTTTGGCTAAGGAAAGAAGCCTTTTATCTCCAAGAATGCTTTGAAATGTGTGTGTGTGTGTGTGTGTGTGTGTGGGGGTCTGACTTCTCATTCTCAGTGTTGGGTTTAGAGTCGGGACTCTGCAGAACAGGTGAAGGGATAATTCATCAGGAGATGATTGCATTAAATAGTCTTCACCTCTTGACTCTGCTTGTCACGCAGGGTATTGTACGTCGTCGGGAGTTGGATATATTTTGGTCTTTTGTCCCAAAGACCTCACATCGGCACAATCTGATGTAGTCTGTAAATTTAATATACATTTACAAACAATATAGAAGCGTTAAGGAACGATAAAGAAGGAACTGAGTAGTGGAATTAATTCCACATCTCGCGTGCATCATCTACGTGGTTGTATCGGCCTGAACAAGGAAGACGGTACGGGAGGGAAGCATTTATTATTAAAATAAATAATTCTGGTACCCAGACGGCACAGTTGTGTGGATTTCGGCGAGAGCCGGAGCCCGTGCGGGGGCGTGTGGGTATTGTGCTTGCAGGGTTCTTGTAAAGGAGAATTTAATGCTTATCATACTAACTAACTGTGTTAACCGACAGACGAACACGGAAGGGGGGACTTTCCTCTTGAATTACTTCTTTGGTTATGATCCAAATAGTATTAACGTCAGTGGAGAGATCAGTGCGTACGTGGCCCGGCGGAGGATTTGGCATCAGATGCAAGTAGAATATCTTGGTGTTGGGATGAGCACTTATGGATGAAAGTACTTCTAGAGACGTACGGAGAACATATCTTGTGTATTTATTCTGTCAGAAGATTTAAGGTTTAACGCAGCGTTTTTGTTGACGCGCGACATGCGGGTCCTTGAGGAACAAGTTCTCGCATGTTCTTCATCATACAGTTTATACTAATGGATTGTCAGTTTCTCATAACGGAAAGGGTAAAGTGCATGTCAGATTATTTCTCTCAGTCCGATGAACGTGTTGAGGTACTACAGTAACGTCTAATGATTTAACTTAACTTGAATACCAACTGACACAGAGACTCATGCCAAGAAACTGCCTCTGGGGGAAGAAAGAGACCTGCAGCACTGTAGCAAAGCTACTTCAATAACCTGTTATTAACATATAAGATTGTATCCAAATTAATGAAACATCTTGTATTTTTCTGTCCTGTTATATATTGATCAAAGACAGATACGGTCCATTAAATTAGTATGAATAAAGAGGCCAAAATAAGGAACATCAGTGGAAACGGACACTCTTAAGTGCTAATAACCAAGCAATTTGCCCAAAGTCCCCCTTTTTCTAATGAGGTCCACACTGGAGATCTGAGAGGACTGGATCATAGATTAATGAGTCCCCCTGTGGGCAGTAGCACACTGTCTGCAACTACAGGACTTCACGAAACACAACATCTTCTCCATGAGACTTTGTTGCCTGCAAGTAACAAACAGCGCTACAGCACATGCAGATCATCCCTTTGTGCAGTCTTAAAGACCTTGTTTCTTTCCTCGTATTTATTAGACCACTCTGTTGTACTGCAGATGGATGCTAAAGCCTCTGATGGGGTGTTGACTGCGGCTCCAGACAGCACCTCAGTCAGAATTGTTCTACTCCCACTCTCCCGTGCTGGCTGCCTTTTCTTCTGTGATGCTTGCCAAAAAAGTGGGTCTCTATTTCACGCGAGCGCTCTGTTTCACCAGTGATAGTAATAAGAAATGTCAGTGGTGGACGCGCAGCCGCGGCGATTCAAATCAATCTTATTGAAATTTCTGCAGTTAATTGTACCAAAATGGTTCCCTTGCAACGAGCATTTACTAAAGACATGTATCAGAAAGTTACTTAAGAAGTTCATTCGAAAGATTGACGGCCTAATTGTTCAAGCTTCCTTATAAATAAACCAGTGTTATGTCACCCTAAGTTCTATAGTTCTCCAGTTTTCATTGGGAAATAAATGCAGCATGGTTTCGTTATATATTGATTCATTGATTTAGTTAGGCTTTAGAATTGGCATAAAAACGTGTTAAAGGATCATTTATTGGGCTTTTATTATATTTAGTCATTTTGAATGTAATGATTTATCCTGCAGTGTGTTCAGATACAGACGTGTATGCTATGCAGGCAGAGAGACCACAGTTTTCCTCTTGTAATAAGTACGATGTGGTTGAATAAAAGGAAGTATATAGTGAGACATTATAGATGAATCAACCACCAAAGATTTTCACAGTAAGATTGCTGGTTGTATCAATCCATCGGGGGCAACGTTGCAATTCAGCAAGCAGCTCTGATTCACAGCAATTTTTATTTTTGCATCAACAATGGTGTTTATATTTAAATTAGATTAAATCTCCAAGCTTTTCGCCATATTGTTTAGCCATTAAAACTAGATTGATTATATTGTGTATTAAACATGGCAACCATTCAATAGATTGAAATTCATATTGTTGTGACTTCATTTTCAAACCATTTGCTGTCAGTTGATGAGGAAGTATTATGACAACTTCCTCTTTAACCTGCTTGCTTTTATCCATGCACTTTTATTCCTCGAGATCTGTACAGTTAACAGCTATCTCAAATTTCAATAGTCTTCCACAATAAAAAAAAAAAGAAAAGAAAAAGAGGAGACAATAGTTACAGCAACAATACTGGGTCAAATCTATTTGAATATCTTTCCTGCAGAAAGCAGACAGATGAATAAATGCTGCAGCAGCAGCAGCACGCAGCTGACTCACTGCAGAGTGGAAAGAAACAAGCCTGGCAGCCGGACTGAGTTCACTGAGGATGATTATATTATTTATGTTGTTGTTGTTGTTGGTTTGCTCTGGTGGTAATTTGAAATGATTTGCTCCCACCAGCTTAATTACACATTTGTAACTACTCTCATACGTTTGCTCGCATTTCTTTTTCGAGAACTAAATAGCCGCGTACCTTCACCGCCCGCTAACGTTGTGTGCACTCATTTACCGCATCGATTTTTTTTCTTCTCCCCGAGCAACACTTTCTACCTTTCCTAATACTGCCTTTAATTAACAATTGTATTTCTGTATAAACCAATTTGTTCTGTTTTCTTTCGCCACAGCAACACACTTACAGTAACATTTGTAACAGAGTAATGAGCGCACAATCGAGCTCCGTCCGCTTCTCCATCCAGGCGCTCACCCGTGTTCAGATCCCCCTCGGGTGCAAAATGATGCTCTGCTGTTCACGCGGGATTTTAACGCGTGGCACATTTTGACACACAGGTTGTGTTGTGGCAGGACGTCCCCCGGCTGTAGGGCACGAGCTGCCATGCCATTTGGTTGTCTGACGCTCGGGGAGAAGAAGGATTACAACAATCCCTCGGAGGTGGCTGATAAATATGACCTCGGACAGATTGTTAAATCGTGAGTACATCCATGATTTACTGCTGATGAGGGAATAAAGACCACGAAAATGACACGTGTTTCTAACTTTAACAGAGAGGAGTTTTGCGAGATTTTCCGGGCAAAGGACAGGAACACCTTGAAGATGTACACCTGTAAAAAGTTCCACAAAAAGGATGGAAGGAAAGTGAGGAAAGCTGCGAAGAATGAGATAATGATCTTAAAGATGTAAGTGACGTGATGGATGGAGGAACTCTTGAGGAACACTGAGACGTAATCACACACCATCAGGATTATTCTTTCTTGTTGTTAAAGCAAAAGTAAAACCGAGTTTGGTCCAAAAGCTCAACATCAATATTGCATATTGCTCGACAACTTGTACTACACACTGCCTGCACTAATCGATTCTCCTCCCCCCATTTTTCCGCCTTTTTGAAGGATAAAACATCACAACATCCTCCAGCTGGTTGACGCTTTTGAAACTAAGAAAGAGTACTTTGTTTTTCTGGAGCTGTGAGTATTGTCAGAGGCACTTGGGATAAATGTTGGCGCAGACTGTTGCGCTCGGGTTCTTCTCCACCCGCGTTGCTGTTCGTTAAGCGAAATGCGCCACGGTTTGGATGTGCCGTCTCTCCAGGGCGACGGGCAGAGAGGTGTTTGACTGGATCTTGGATCAAGGGTACTACTCGGAGAGGGACACCAGCAACGTCATGCGGCAGGTGCTGGAAGCCGTAGCGTACCTGCACTCTCTGAAAATTGTCCACAGAAATCTTAAGGTACATTACACTGCTGACACCTAGTGAGAAATAGCAGCATTTCCACCCGTGCAAAACTAGTGATGTGTATATATAACTTATAGATTGTAAAATATATAACAAGGACTCCTTGATGAAGTCCTACTTGGAGTAACCTGTGTTTGTTTACTCATACAGCTGGAGAACCTGGTGTACTTTAATCGTTTGAAGCACTCCAAAATTGTTATCAGTGACTTCCAGTTGGCAAAACTTGAAAACGGACTCATTAAGGACCCGTGTGGCACCCCGGAATATCTCGGTAAGTAAGACGGAACCAATGACGCAGTTTTACCTAAGTGGAATTGACACGCGTGTAGACGTTTCCATTGTGCTGCTCAGCTCCTGAGGTGGTCGGGAGGCAGAGATACGGACGGCCTGTGGACTGTTGGGCCGTAGGCGTCACCATGTACATTCTGTAAGTGCTCACAAATACGCGACAGTCATTCTCTAACGTGCGATTTAAGGGACTTTATCGAAGGCGTGCGTTATACTGTACTGCTGTCATTCTGCCAAATCAATAGTTTGTCTGGAAACCCTCCTTTCTATGATGACGCCGATGAAGATGATGATCGTGATAAGAACCTTTTCCTAAAGATTTTGTCGGGAGACTACGAGTTTGATTCGCCATATTGGGATGACATTTCGGATTCTGGTAAGAGATGATTGTTTATTGAAATGCACATCAATGCTATTATATTTGATAGATGATATGCTCAGTGTTGAACCGTGTTGTTTATTTCATTTTCTCACAGCTAAAAACTTAGTGGCATCGTTGATGGAAGTGGACCAAGATCAGCGATTAACTGCACAGGAAGCGATCGCCCATGCATGGTAAGGATCGTAATGACAATACAGAACACATGGTCACACCGAAAAAGACTTATGAACTTATGTAATACAGGAACCACAAATATAACCAAATGCTGTAAAGAAATATACTATCGTGGCTTCTCTCAGGATTTCTGGAAACGCCGCCTCAGACAAGAACATCAAGGATGGCGTTTGTGCACAAATAGAAAAGAACTTTGCCAAAGCCAAATGGAAGGTAAGGAAAGAATATTCATGATCAGGACCCAATTCTTCAAGCGGCACCGTCTCAAACAGGTTTTTAAAACTTTCACTGAAGCCCCCACCCCTCTAAAATATTAAGTATGAGTATTGATTTATATCAGAATGCTATTAATTTCATTCAGAACCTGTCCTCAGAGCGTGCGCCATCATCCATCCGTTAAGTGTGTCGTGCGGTCTCACTAAATTCGACCCTTTGTCTTTTCTATCCCTCACAGAAAGCGGTCAGGGTGACCACCCTCATGAAGAGACTTCGGGCCTCTGAGCCGGGGGATTCCGGGGCCTCGGGTGTCGCTGCGGCCGACCCCAACGCACCGAGCGCCGGCGCTGCTCCCCCGGCTGGTGGCGGCGCTGCTGTCGGCGTCGCCGCCAGCATGACGGCCGCTCTCGGTGAAAAGCCCTCTGGCACACAGACTACCGTCACCTCTGCGCTCTGCTTGCCCAGTGCGGCCGGGCAGGAAGAGCGGCCGCCGGCGCGGCGCAATAGAGACGATCCCCAGATGTTGCCCCCTGGAAAGGGAGACTAGGCATCAAAACAGATACACGAAGAGGGACCCTCGCCAACCAACAAGCACATGTGCAGTACAGCCACTATATTTGGCGTTGTGATACCATGTCTATGCTGTTCGTCAACACCCCCCACACTTTGCTGAGTTAATTCATAGTACGATGCGTTTCATCAATTCTGCCTTCTGTAGTGATTGCTCTTTGAATAATGTTCTCCACTCTCCCTTGTTTATGGCGTACGAGTCCTTTTAAAGCTGGTGGCAAAGTCGTTCTTCTGTTGTTTCCTTGAAAATCTGTTAAAAAAAACAGTCATATTGTAATTTGGTGAATTCGCTGTATATACTGTAGGTGTGTTTGTTGGTTGCGACAAATTGCTACTTTTCAGCGTTTGTGACTTAAAATTATGAGTTGAGAGATTTAATTAATTGACCATATCAGTGTTTGAAAATGTGTTAATTATTAAAACACTTTTCATGTGTATTTAAGTTTACCCTACAAAAAACGTTATACATATTTAATTATAAAAAATGTTAATTATGAAAATTGATTTCGTAACTTATTAGTGGATTCAACTTGACAAATAAACATTGACAAATGAACCGGTTTTATCTTCAGTGCAGTACAACTTCAGTCAACTTACAATTTTAAGGCAACAAGAAAGTATATTTTAAGTTAAAGTGCCTTAATATTTGTTGCAGTAATGTACTGTGCTGAAATGTTTCAAAACTTTAAAACGTTTTAGCTGCACTTCTGTTTAATTTCACGCTGCTGTATTGATACTTTTGACAAGACAATTAAAACACAGAAAACTAAAAGTAGAGTGTTGTGTGTGGAGTAATGTTTTGCTGTCCTGTTGTTGTGTTGTCCCTTGTAATGAGAACATTTCAGAGTTTATAGCTGAGTCCGTATACTGTATCTGTACGTATTTTTTGCATCGTAAACTTTTGTGTTTTTTTTATTTACGTGAATATTTAGCAACATTTAGCTGAGCTAACTAGTTGCTACCACGCTTGTGAATCAATAAAATGAGCAATACTGATTTTCTTGGAACTGTGACATTTTTTCTCAAGTTGTTGAGTCCTCTTTTTCCTCTTAACAGAGTTACGGAATAAATGTCTCGATACTTCAAAAGTGATATTACTCAAAATCAAAGCATTGTGGTGTGCCAAAGAAATAGTACTTTGATGAATGTCAAATCAGGTTCTTTATTGATTTACCGATATAATGTGTTAATTTACAGCCAAAGTAATGGTCTGCATATGTGCTTATTTTCATGGTTTGTTGCATGAACAAACATGATTTAAAAAACATATCATCAAATTCGAGGCATGCATACGACAGTAGTTACATTATTTAACCGCCGGGTGGCAGCATTTTAATTCTGTAGTATGTCGGGGATACAAAGAAGAAGAAAGTGATTCATCCCCGCTAAAGCAACAGAAGAAGAAGAAAAAGACGACTTGACGATTGTCGTCAGTTTGCGGAAGCCATCGACAACCTGAACAATAATCCTGTGCAATATTGACCCTGCGCTCGACGAAAAAGCAAGGTAGACCTTACAAAAACAACATATACTCGATGATATTGAATAACCAAATGCCTCCCAGCTGCAAGCGAGCGCAGAGAAACCGGCTTCCGAACGTCAATTTTAGCCCAGTTAGCTCGGGCCGCTCCAGCCCGTCAGTGGTCTCCTGCCATAGGCTAACGTTTGTCATAATGGTCTTTTGCGCGCTAATTTAATCGTGCTAACCTCGTTATTACAACGCGATCGTTACATTGAGTTAGTTTAGTTATTGAAGTACAGTCACTTCCGATACCTATGGCATTTATTTATGTTGTGGCGTAGATTGGGAAGGCCTTGTGGTAGATTAAAGTAGCGGGCCGACGTTAGCAATCACACCGTTCACTGTTACGAGCTCCGGCTTCTGACGTAAGCAGCCATCTTTTATTAACTATCGCCACTGATACTAAAGCACGGGAATAACGCCATCGCCAGCATACACGCCATTGCATTATTAGTGCATATAATTAGTTTTACATGATCATGTTGTTTAGAAGTCAGAAGTGGTGCATTCAACCCGTCCGAAAAGAATTCAAACCTGTTCTCTTTGCCTCCAGATAAGCTATTGATTTACAAACATGTGGGATGGACCAGGGCAAGGACCACGGGGAGGACCACCCTTCCGGTAAACGAGCACCATTCATCATTTAAAACCTAACATCCATCATTTCTATTTGCTATTAAGACCATTTTTGAACTAAAGTGAATTTTTTGTGTTCTGCCTGTTGAATGTGCTTTTTGCCAAGAAGTGAAATGTAGTGCAACAAATGCAACACAGTTCATAAAATGTAATATTTTTCAATATTCTCATATATAATATATATATATATTTTTTTTCTTCTCCAGATTCTACATATATATATATATCTGTGTAAAATATGGAAAAATATTCATTCATTTAAATTATAAAACATGTGTCCAAACCTTTGACCCGTACTGTATATATTATATGTGTATGTATGTATAACAGATGCATTGAATATCTGTGGACATATTCAGCATCAAATGTTCTGCATTATATTGCTCCATCGATGTGCGTTTCTTGGTTTATGTGCTTTTTCAAACAAACAGGTAGCCAAATATGTTGATGAATAAATATACATTAATATATTAATTTATTCCAGTGGTGATCATCGTGGAGAGAGGTTTGGCGGCAGAGATCGTCCCATGCCTGATTATAGAGGTAGAGATGGGATGAACATGGGTCCCATGGGTCATATGGGCCCGAGACCTCAACATATGCCTCCCATGTCCCCTATGGACATGAGGAGGATGGAGGGACCCCCCATGAGGGGTCGTGATATGGACCAACGTGATATGAGAGACAGAGAGCCAAACCGAGATTTCTGCCGAGCCGGAGAGGAGTCTGACTTCAGTCTGAGAAGACATTATGAAATTTCTATCAGAGACAAACTGATGAATTCTTCTGGTTTCCAAGGACCAGGCAGGAACTTGCTAGACATGGGAGGGAGGGGTATGCCGCCACGGGAGCCCAACAACAGATTTATGGACATGAGGGACAGGGAGCCATTTCAATACGAGGGGCCGCCGTTCAACAATCCCAATACTGATGGAAGAAGAGGGTTTCCCATGGAGCGAAGTGACGGCTTTAGGGACATGCGCGACCGGCCCCAACCAGGCACCGATGACTCTGAGGGCTATAACATGGACTTACAGCCACGTGAACGCAGAGCGATGGACACCGACCGAAGAGGAGGGCCGCCTTTCAACCCAAGAGGTGGCTTCGATTCTGACATGGATTTCAGAAATCGTCCGCCGGCTGAATTTAGAGACCGGGATCGATCTCCCATACGTTTCGGAAACTGTGACGCTCCCCCAGTGGACAGGGCAAGATCAAACATGCCCGCGGTTGCTGGCCCTCAAAGACCAGAGTTTATGGGTGCACAAAACCTCATCAGGGAGAGAGAATACGTAGACGCCAGCGGGAGCCCCCTAATGGATTATCGAAGCGGCGAAGAGATGACGCTTGCGGAGGAGTGGAAGAACCGTCGAAAGGACAAGACTCCTCTCTTAGAAGTTGGTAAAGGTATGGCCGATGTAACGAAACCCGGCTTCCCTGCGGGTTTTGGCCGAGATGTGAACGTGAGAGATCCACCGTCCTTTCAGCAGAGGGACAGGCCACCTGTCAAGTTCCCGGGGAAAGAGGTCGCCTTTCCTCACGGGGACCACTTTCCTGCCATGGGTCTTCCCTCAATCGCCAGCAAAGCTCCGCAAGACCACGCACGCCCGGATATGGGTCTCCTCGCCAGCCCCCTCGGGAGAGAAAACGAGAGCGAGCCGTGGCTCGGAGACCGGAACCCAAAGCACAGGCCGAACAAATCCAATTGTGACGAACGGCTCCTTTTCCATCAAGAGAAGAATCTGCATCCGCTTGTGATGCAGAAGCCAAACGATTGTTTTGAAGGGCTGAAAGATCTCCCGCATCAGGGGCCTGCGAGGGGAACCATGGGGACGGAGGGTGATTTCCAAAGCAGCGGCCCTGTACAGACGAGAGACCAAGACTACAGGGACATCGATTACAGAACGGGGTCCGGGAGGGCTTTTGATTACAAGCACCAGGCACTTCCAGCACCGGAGAAACTCCTCAAAGAGACCAAACCAGTCACCCCTTCGAAGTTCAGTGAGTCCGGTTCGCAGGTAGGTGCATTTTAAGTTGGTTTAAATGTTTAAATGTGTTTGCATTCATCGTCACATTGGGCTGTTTCGTAACCTGAACTGTGATCAACATTCCCACGAAAGGATCAGGATTACAGAAACGCGTCAGTGGAGGACAAGGTTTCCAATACGATATCCATAATTGGTATTCCAAAGACTGCCACAATGGAGCAGGTAACGATCAAACAGAAAAGCCTCTTTAAGTGTCTGACCGTCGGCGTACAGAGCCGCCGAACCACTGACCCACTTTGACTCCTTCTATTGCAGATCCTCGGCGCCTTCGCGGTCCGGGACGGCGTGCCGATGCAGGGGATGAAAATCAAAAATGTTATGCCAGGTAAGAACTGAGTTCCTTTGTGAAGCTGTTTTGGGGCAGTCGATCGCAAACATGTCCCACGACTTTTCACTTTTTTACGACATTCGAAACTTCGCCTCTTTTCTTTTCACGTTGTTGGTTGCTTTTGTTGTTGGCGGTGTGTGTATGTGTGTGAGAACTCGCTCAGTGGGGACGGAGGGGGGGCGGGAGGGGGCTCTGTTACGCCGTCCTTTTCCATGTTTGAGGATTTCTGGTCTTTGTGACAATCGGAGGATTTACCGAGGATTCAATATATTAGGAGCTTCGGAGAGTGTCAGTTCTAAAAAAAAAAAAAAAACTAAAAAAGAAATTCTGTGGCAAGTGACTCATTGAATGTGTCTGTGTGCCACTTAAAGAGCTGAAAAATACCGTCACAAACCTGAAATGGAGACGGTCTTGTTAGTGCCTCGTTCATCCCGCTGATCCAAACATCTGCTTTAGAGTCTCCCACAGTGGATCATCACGGTCATGGATGATTCCAAGCCTTTATTTTATACTGTCTCATGCAGTTAATTTTACATGATGCATCAAAATGGTCATCGCTGAAAGATATTGGGTGATTTTTATTTATTTAAAAAAAAAGAAAAAAAAAAGCCTGGTAAACGCTGTGTCTCCATGGTGATCACTCACTGCCACTGGTTTGGAATATCTGCCACGAAGGGCTTTGATAACACACAACGACTCGCGTGACACCAGTCAGTCAAGACTGACTAGATCAAAAGCGTAAACAAAATGTGTGTTTTCCCCCTGAGGTATGTATGTAAGTCGAGGTGAATAATTTCGCTCACGCCGATCTCGATGTATTCACCAACTGCTGTCTTTTCATGTTTTAGTGGGTGACTGTCATTGCTGGCATTGACTAACAAAAACCCATCTGTATTTCAAATGCTGTCCCCAGGTTACAGCTACGATACGGCCTATGTGGAGTTTTTAAACCTCGAGGATGCAGTCCACTTCATGGAGTCCAACAAGGTGGCCCATCCTCGTCACTCTACGAAGGCCGTCTCTCCCGTCGGGATTATGAGGGGCTGAGAGGGCATTTAGTCGAAAGGGGAAGGGGGGGCGGGGGCGGGGGACACAGATCCTGGGCAGGGGTTGCTTTTACTTCTCTGTGCGCTTAGTTTGGTAAAGGAGAAGATGACCTTTGGTGACCCTTGCAGATGATTTCAACCCTCAGAAGCTGGTCCTGGTTAAATTTAGTTAGTTAAATTCTAGTACTTCAGGTTACCTGTTTTTTAACCTGTACACAGAAATGCAGTAGGTTTCCCTCACACCGTTGCCTATAATTTTAACCCCAAAGGGGCGTAATCTTGGAAAGGATTTAACCATAAAAATACAGTTATTTGGGGGGGGGGGGGGGGGATTTGAATGATAAAAAAGGAGCCGTTGCCAGCCACCGTCGCATCGGTTGTTATTTCTCCGTGATAACGAGGAGGATAAAAGGAAGTGACCGCTTGAGGCTCTTTCAAGTCTGACTTTCTTAAAACAATGCAGGGAGCTGGTTGTTGGGGCAAGTATTTCACCTTCACTCTCGACGTAAGCCAGAGCGACACGTTACGAAGGAATCCACTGTGGAGTCCACCAACGGCGGAGGTTTAGCCCCGTGAATCGTTGCTGCGACGGTTCCTGCGATGTTTGTTATCTCATTTGCAAGAATTAGCTTTTTTTTTTTTTTTTATGTGTTTAAAAGTAACCTTGAAAAATAATATTTTAGTGCTCAGTTTTTGGTATAATTTTCTCTGGCATGTATGGGTCTACATTGTATTTCTATTTCATTTAGATTTGCAATGCTGGGGCCCCACAAGGTCACCGAGTCCTCCGGCACCCTTTATGAGGTTTACATCTTTGGTGCTTCGTGAAATGTGTTTGATAAATTCTCGATGAGTTTGGTGCAGATGTTCACGTCTGAATGTCCAATCCGAACAGTCGTGGTTACCGTCTTGACTCGCGCAGGGAAGCAGACACGCGCCTACTCGACGAATCGGCACACATTTCGATCCGAGAAGATGAAATCACGGGGTTTTCTCTGACTTTTCCTTCAGCACAACTGAGGTTGAATTTGAGGTGACATTTCCCTCCTGATGGAGACTTTAATGGGCTTTGTGCACTTTGCGGATCCCCTCACTTCTTCATTAGGACCATCAAGTCGGCATTTTTATTCTTCTAATGCTTTTGTTTATTTGGCAGTTTTGGTTTTCTTCACGATGAGCAATGCGACCTCCTAAAGCCTCTCGTTGTCTTCTTTGGCGAAGTTCTTTCTGCTCTTCGCAGCACTTGCAGCCGTGTTCTCTTCTCAACGCTGCATGTCCTCTTGATGGATTTCTCCTGAGCTCCTGGCCTTTGAACTTCGCGCACCTGAATTTCTTCGAGCAGTCTGTGAATTGATTTTCACATCTTAACACGATGAACACTGGCAAGAATTGCTGTGCTTTGATTTTCTGTGTGAAGCTGTGGAGGAGCCCAGTAGCTCGGCGTAGTCGGGGATCGGGGGAATTGTCGCTGAAATGTGTAGCAGTTTGTTTGGCTTCGCTAACGTTGGCGCATTTCGTTGCTTCAAATGGCCACTTGGAAGCCACCGTGGATGGTAAAGAGTTCCGCTTTGTGCTCTACGGTGCGTCTTTAATGTGTGGTTTTTAATGGTAAATCTGGTGCAAGTTGGATATTTTTTTTTAAATAACCTTTGACTGGTGTTCGATGTTCAACCTGCATGATTATAGATAATTAGCGTAGCGCTGCCGATGTGCCATGAACTCCTTGAAACTGCTTTTGTGTCAGTTTTGCAGTCTTGTTTATTGGGTGCTTCCACTGGTTTAGTCTGGTTAGTATATTTGACCTGGTTCCACTTCTACTACTGCGCTGCACTACTTAGTCAATTTTATTCAGTACTGTGCTTTGGACAGCTACCGGCACCTATTCAGCAAATCGAATTGCTGCAGCTAGTTTCTGCATTTAGGATCTTATGCACTTGTTGTTGTTGTAGTAAACTGCATATCTTTTGTGTTTTGGTCGGATAAAACCAGCAGTTGGAAGATGTTTCACTGGGCTTTAGGAAATTGTCTGACCGTGGCAATCTGACAATTCATTCATTTATTTTTCTGAACCAAATAATCTCTTGTGCAATTGTTCGAAATAATCTGCCGATCAGATGATACTGAAATAATTTAGCCGTAGATTCTAGTTCCGCTAAAGTATTTAGCCTAGTGTCAAAGTGCCCGTGAGAAGCACGATGCTCAATCTGGGCTTTGGCTCACTACCTTAAGTGTTTGCCCGTTTCGCCCTCAGCAGTGAGGAGGGGGGGGCTTAACCTGCCACAGTGCATGTTGGGTGTCATTGGTATTATTTCAATATAAGTCACGGATGTCGTACGATTCTGACCGATCCCCCTCTGTTCTTCTTCCAGGGGTCCCTGAAGGTTGGCAGTAGAACGGCCTCCATGAAGTACATACAGCCGGAAGAGCGTGAAAGGAGTGTTAACGTGAGTACAGCCGGGGAGGTTTTTGTTTTTTCTCCACTTGATTTTATAGGAAATTATTATTAGATTTCCGACAATATTACTAAATTACTGTCGGGGACTAAATCCACAAATTTCGGATGGAGAAATTGTACTTTTTGCATGACGGCAAACGCACGACATCAGAACAGCGCAATTGACGGTGTCTCCACTTTCCTCCGTCTGCAAATTAGGAACCAAATCCCAAAGTACCTCAACTCCAGGAGCCCCCGTTGCCCAGACCAGATGAGCCTTTAGAAAAGTTGACGACCAACCTAGATGGGTCCAAGCTCAAGGACCCTCCGGAGCCATTGCCCCCCGGCCAGTGGCAGCGTAGCTCCGACCTGACCCCCGAGGCCTGGCAGCAGCAGGTGGACCAGCAGCTCCAACTGCAGGAAACGGATCAGCAGCCGGAGTCTTGGGCCAACCGCAACCTCCCTCATCACGCTTCACACCAACCCGACTCCGTCTTCAAAGACAGCAAAAGTATGTCGCGTTGAGATCGCGATCGCGCCGTTTACCTTCGGGCGTTGGCGTGCGCCGTGATTCACAATCGAGACCAAACGTTCCACTTGTGTCACTGTTACAGCCATGATAATAAAAAACGTCAAGCCCACCACCACGGTAGAGACCATCCTGAAAGCCTTGGATCCCTTCGCGTATCTGGATGAACGAAACGTCCGCCTGGTCAAGGCCAAGCCGCCGGGAGCCAAGTGTTTCTGCTTTGTGGACATGGACTCCCACGAGGTACCGCGAATGCGAATGCACGCAGTGTGCGTTTGCCTCTTTGATTCGGAGTTTTGTGATTGGCTTCTTTGCGCAGCATCCCGGTGATTCGCCAGCACTCACCGTTGTGTCTTCCTTCGTAGCAAGTGACACGCCTGGTTGAGCTCCTCACTAAACCCAGACCCCTCTATGTCGATGGAGTCCGAGTTTACGCAGAGGTGGCAAAACCTTTGAAGAACCAAAAGTAAGTCCACCCCCCATGCGAGGGTTTCCTTATCCACTTTGTCCACTAGAGAGATCCCATCTCATTGGTTGCTGACTGACTATCCGCCTGTTGTAGTTTCAGAAGAGACTCTGATAAATCAAACAGCTCCATCCTCGGGTTCCCCCCGGACGCGAGCATGTTGGGGGTAAGTTGTGGTGTCACGTGTGTTATTTTACAGAGCTTTAAGAAGGAGAAGACGACCTGTGGTTTTAATTCGATGCTTTATTTTTTCCCTGCATATCATCAGCATCCGTACCAACCGCCCCCACAGCACCTGCAGCTTCTGCAGCCACCTGCTTGTGCCCCCACTGGACTGCCAGGTGGGACTCAGGCCCCCGATCCGGTATCTTGGTCCCTGGGCACTAAATACAATTGCTAAACCCAATGCTTCTTTTGCCACCAGCTGATTTCACATCTGGCGGCAGTAATCCTCCCCTGTCGTCAGACTTCGCCATTGGACAGGTAGATCACGAAGCCGAATGCAAATCTCGGTTTGCCTCAAAGCACTTTGGCGAACTGTACATCTCCTTTTGACGCCTCGTAGGGAGTCGGCTACGGGGATCCTGCCGCTGTGGATCCGTCTTACCTGGCTGGTGGACCGCAGGTGGCCGCAGAATCAGCTGGGTTGACGGTCACCGCAGACGGATCGCAGCCCTACGTCTATGGTAACAGTCCAATCCAGAATCTACAGGAAGCGTTTATTGTTTTGCATCTGTAGTAACGACTACGTAGTTATCAACTACTCGTGTTAGTAGCTGCACTCCGATAAACAACTTCCTGAATGTTTGACAGGGAAACGTGGAATTTCATCTCCATGCACTTTTTCTCCGGCAGGATTGGACCCCATTTGCACCTTTTTCAAATGAGTACAAACATGCATGTTTATCTATTTGTCCCGATTCTTCCAGGCTCCGAGATTCCAGACATGACCAACTACCTGTACGATTCCACGTCGGGCTTCTACTACGATCCTGAGACGACGCTCTACTACGACCCGACGTCTAGAGTGAGAATCCAACATTGATCAGCGCTTTCTCCTGCCTATGAGCAGACGCAACAAGTGTTTGTGCGGCTTTCAGATATACAATCTTAGCAGACTGACATTCAGCTAGCGACTGACTTCTTGTGTGTTTTGAAAATAGTTTCCTACACAGGCTGCAGTTACGACCCAATCTGTAACCACAATGAATGTGTCTGAAATCATTCCTTTTGCCATTAAGTTCTCCCTCCTTGTTGTGTGCAGTACTTCTACAATGCTCAAACCCAAGAATACATGTACTGGGATGCCGCATCAAAGACCTACATCCCAGTTCCAGGAGGCAATCCTACGGCGAGCCAACCGATGATCATGACCGCTGAAGATCAGGCCATTCTATCCAACCCGGCCGCAGATGCTCCTCTGGAAATGAAGAAAGCACTGGACCCTCCAGACGCCGCAGAAGATCCAGAAGCACTTCCCCTCTCTGATGCCGGCTCTGCGGCGGATTCTCTGGCGGCTTCCTCATCAGCAGCTCCTGAGAGGAAAGACGACGACGACTCCAAAAAGGACAAGGACAGCGAGAAGCCCAGAAGTCTCGCTGCTGTCAAGGTAGCACTTTGTTTACAGTACCGGTGCGAACGAACCTTAAACGCAGCTGTGTTGGGGGAAAAAAAGTGAGTTTGGACATTTGTTGCCGTTTGCAGATCATGAAAGATATGGAGCGCTGGGCAAAGATCCAGAACCGCCAGAAGGAAGGCGTTCGTTCCTCGTCCCCGTTGCTGATGCGCGGCATGGACGACGACAGGAGGCAGTCCAAGACGGCGGACGCCGGTTTCGCCGTCTTTGAGAGGAAGGTTAGAGACTCGGTTCCAACTGCCGCATTTAGTCTGTGCGTTGTTCTTTTTTAAACTAATTTTTTTTTACAATGAATGCAGATGGATTTGTTTCTTTCACCTAGTAAATCTTTTTGGCCCCGTTCTCGTTTTACATCCTTAGATATCCGGTGCAGATGATCTTTTTAAGAAGCCGCTTGCGCCTCTTAAGAAAGATGAAAAGTCAAAGGTAACAACCCTCAAGTTTGCATTTAAAATAATTACATAAGTGGCATAAATACTTTTTAAATGAATAATTCAGATTACATACTCATATATTTGGATACATTTTTGACGTTTGCTCGGTTTGCTTCCCCAGCGTCCAATGGGCTCACTGGGTCTGCTGGCATCTGACTACGCAGCTGGAAGTGACGAAGAGGTGGAAGAAGACAAGGAGGACGCCTCTAAAAGCATTCAGGGTGGCCAGTCCGAAGACTCGGATACCAAACTGACCGACTGGAAGAAGATGGCCTGCCTGCTATGCAGGAGACAGTTCCCCAACAAGGACGCTCTCATCCGCCACCAGCAGCTGTCCGACCTGCACAAAGTACAAATGATCATCTTCCATTCAAAGAGTTGACCGTGACGCTGTGGATATAGCCTCTCATACTCTGATGTATTCTTTCAACAGCAAAATATGGAGATCCACCTGAAGATCAAGAGGTCGAAGAAGGAGCTGGAGGCACTGGAGAACCAGGAAAAAGAAGTAAGTGAAAATCCGCTTGGAGGAGCAGCTGGGCCGAGGGAATGTTAGTTTGATGGTGGAATGTGTTCTTCTCAGTTGATTTCCAGAGAACCTACCAGGTCACCAGAACCGAAAAGAAGGAAACAACAACAGCCGCAGCATCATAACAGCTGGGCTGGAAGCTCCAGGTGGGTGGGTTTTTAACTTTTATTAAAGCATCTAAGTGTCTCGAAAACATTTTGGTCTTCACCGGTTATTCTCGTTGCTCAGGGAGATGAATAAAGTCAGTGATCGACCTGGTTTAGGAGCAGAACCCGTCCCGGTAGGAGTTGACCTCTTTATTTCATTCAATGTGGAGATTTTGTTAGTTTTCTCTTTTCTTTTCTTTTTTTTAACCTTTCATTGCACTTTTCCAGCAGAAGAAAAAGAAAGAGCCTGTCGTCTGGGACCACACCACCTACAAACAAGCAGTACGCAAGGCCATGTTTGCACGCTTCAAGGAACTCGAGTGACCTCCTCACAACACATCCTCACTTTGATAATATGTGAATTGTTGATATGAAATGCTTGACCACCGTGGCATGAGAAATCCGTTTGACTGTCTTTGTATTGTGACACTATCCAACCAGTTTTCTACACTGAAATCATGTGAACCAATAACAGTGTTGTAAAAATGGCATTACAATGCTGCAGTGGGGCTAAAGGTAAAGAAGTCAAAATGATGATGATGAAGGTGTTTATTCGCGGTGTGTATTTTTGCCCCCGTTTTATGTGTGTTTAGAAGTGAAGTGACCAGGTAGTCTTTGTTTCCTTTCTTTTTTAATGATATTCTTACACTGGCCACATTTACATTTTGTTTTAACATAGTGTTTTTTTTTGTTTGTTTTTTACATTTTCATGGGTAACATTGACATGTTGTATGTACACATTTTAAGTAAAAAAATATTCTGGACTATCTTTTGTGAAGTGTTAATTTTACTTGAATGAGGTTGGTGTGTGCGTGTACACGCACCCCTCATGTCCACCAAGTGGCAGAAAGAGACCGTGTTCTGTCTTTCTACGTGAACTCAAGTGGCTGATTCTGGGAATTTGTCTCATGGATTCAGGTAAAAAAAAAAAAAAGCTGCATCTGCCAGCGAGACGTTGGACATTTGAAGCTTCGGCTCTTTGAGGGTGAAGCTTTAATGTTGCTTCTCTGCAGGAGTTGGAACATAACGCTTTTCCTCTGACCTTCACAGGTCTGAAGGAAGCGCTGCAGCCGTGATTCAAGGAGTGTGGAGGATTGCGTCGGTTTGGCGTGATGACACACTACCTCCTTTGGGACCAGTAACAAGACCACTAGGGAGCCCGAGGCGCTGCAGTCTGTGACAAACTGCTACTCACACCTTTGAATGTGCAACCGCAATCATGCCTCATGTTGTGGACAATAAACACATGGTCCTCATTTAGTTATCAACAGGTAGTAACCGGTGTTTCACTAGCATTGGATAAAATGTGAGCCTAATTGTGACTTAGGAATATGGAGTCTGTGAGGATGCAGGGAAGCATAAGAAAGCCTCAGTTTAGTGTAGACCTCCTTCTGCGGCTTGGCAACAAAACTGAGAGAAGGACCAACAAAAGTACATTAATCATCTGCAGGTTCACATGTGCATTGAAGGCCCGACACATTTAAAATGTTATTGCTTTCAGTTGTAAAATCTTAAGTTCCAAGGGGACAGCGATAAGCATAAAGTCCCGGTCACAACGGGGTAAAAACGTGGTCCGGTGAGTGCCTGACGTCCAAAAGACCGGGTCTCTTTATTCAACGTGTATCTACACTCGCATTCTTTTAAGTTTGGCAAGGAGCAGTGAAACCGCTTCACACGCGTCCCTGCGGTGCTTTTAATGTTGTGTTGTATTGAGTTTAAACTTGGTCTGTTCATCTGATATCTTTTTCTACGTATCTAGCGTGGTATCATTGATTCCTACTACTAAACTACACCAGCAGCCTAAAGACGATAAACTATTCTTTACCCCATGATACAGCTTCACTCTGTTCTGTGCTTCGGACTACACAGCTTATATCTAAGCCGTGTAGACAGTTCCATTACAGCTGCATTTTCAATCTGTCCTGCTCGTAGCTTGTGATCACATTTCTATTCAATGTAGGTCAGTATAACTTGTCAGAGCAACAGATTTCAGCATATCTATATCTGTGCATTTGCATATAAATAGAGAATGTATTACCAAGATTGACATGGAATTAGACTTCATGCATGTTATATTCATGACCTAGTCAAATAAATACAAATTTCCAGTTTCTGTCTTGAAGAGGATAAACAGGCGTTATTTAAAAAACCTGCCATCGAGATGCCAGAAAGCAACGTGTAACGCAGTGACAACAATACTAGCAAATCATATTTTGATTGTGTAGACGTCTAAAACTGGGTTTTTTACCCAAATGGCAGAAGGGGGCATTTGGAGGAGGAATAAGTCTATTCTCTCTTAATCTAATTCCCATATCTCCGTTCTGTCACAAGACCCCAAAGACGCTCTCAGCTCCCAGAGACAGATGTGGTCATTAGCCCGTCCTAACAGGCTTCCCCGTGAAAACGAACGCGTCAAAGACATGCGGTTTTAGTGTCCCCCGTGTGTCTGTCTAGAGCTCGCAGGCAGCGCGAATGTCAGCAAAAGGTGGACAGGGGGTCCAATTAGCTCAGCTGGACGGCTCTTGGTCTGCTGGACGAGACAAGAAGAGGAACGCAGTCAGCAGGACTCTCAGACGTTGGCACGTGCCATCAGGCCACGGCGACGGCAAAAGGAGGCAGAGGCATCGTTTGATTGCTTTTAATGAAGGTCTGGTAAACTATTCCTGCAGCTGAACAAAAGATGCTCCACAGGCTCAAAAAACCCACTTGGGATCTTATTAGCCATCAGATCTTTCCATTTGTTCAAAGCATGCATGACACAAAGTGCACGTTGCATCAAAGAGAAGAAAGAAGAAATAGGTTATTCTATGATGCGCTTGTGTGGACATCTCCATGCTTTTCTTCCCAAACTCATCCCATGTAGGGGGGCCCGCGTGTTCGTGGTCGGCCCAGGCACACGCTAGAGACACAACATCACCACAACATTGTCTTGAAAAATGTCCCCGTGATTGTCAGGTGGGGGACATACGTCAGAGCACAGCTTACACTGAGTTTGGACCAAGCAGAACCAGTTTCCGCTGCCAGACTGTCACTGAGAACATTAAATGCATTCATAACATTTGAAAATGATGTTATGGTTCTGCCCTTTGTCACCGATGGAGAAATGACACCACGGGTGGTGTATCGACGTAGAAAACAGACATCCGGAATGTTTCCGTCTGCTTATTTTCTGTAAAGATGTAGCGGCCGAGTGCAGTTTACAGTTGTCTCATTTCACGCCGTGAAAAAACGAGAGCTGCAAAAGATTTGTGAAGCAAATGTTGTAATTGTACTGTGACCCCCGCTGCCATAGAGCTGAAACTTCTGCTTAATGTCCCTCATCGTGACGCCTGGCAGCTGGTTTGAATGATCTCTCAATGTAGTTTATGCATGAGGCTCTTTATCTGGCACTTTATATGCATCAGTTGTAATTATCCTCACCAGGTTCGGCTTCATTAGACTTGACCAATTGCTTTGTTGACTGGAGTGAGCAACTTTTACCCCGAATCAGGTTCTGTCCAGCTAATACAATTTCTCACAGCCGTGGAGTTCAAGCACTCATCCTTGTACATTATTAATGACCTGCTTAATTTTTTATGTAATAAATGGTTGAGTGAGCAATTTGACTGAGCAACCACAAGGCCGGGCGAAGAAACAATAATACATTGAGTCAATGTTAGCTGTGGGGACTGTCAATTACTGACGTGGCCAGGTAGCACGCTGCTCAGGGGGAAATGTGTAATTAATCTTGGCTATTTATTTATATATTCTCAATCTGGTGTGGAAATAACAGGCTATTATGTTGTTAACATTTTCCAGCAATAATATTAACTCATGGGAATGTCTGATTAATTTAACATGGGGGCCATATGGACGAAACATCATTCCAGGTCAATTCCTCGCCTCAGTTTATTATTGCAAGTCACATGAAGCGGAAATAACCGTCCCTGCAATCAGCCGCTGCTGCTGTGTTAAGCATTTATACAATATTACCTTTAATAGTCCGTTCTGTTAGCATATTAGCTGCTGTCCATCTGTCTTCTCATGCCTGCTTTATCCAGTTCCTCAGTTGCAGCTCGGCAGCCGTCACCTCCGTAAGTACACGCGTAGCTTTTTTTTTACTGCCGTTATTTTGATGCTGCATGACAATGGACCTCAAAAAAAGTAGCTGATCATCCACATCAATATCTTGGTGCTTCGTGTGTTGCACGTCTGGGAGGTCAGGAGTGTAAAAAAGAAGACACCCTCCCCCCCGTCTAATATGTCCCACCTGAAGCCAAAATCAAGGTACACCTTGACAGTCATGAAATGTCATGACGTTCACAAGCAGAGCCTGAATAGTGAGAACGCTCAGCTCTGTTTCTCAGGGTATCAGGAACGTCTTCCATGCCAAGTATGCATTGTCACAGCTGGAACTGAGATCCTGGTCTTAGACCCCCGACGACAGAAATATGGCCATGTTTCCCAACCTTCTCACAAGGCGGTACCTGTGTAGTGGGGCCCAAGTAAATGTGCACTGAATCAGCGGGTGCTGAAAGGCCCTCACGGCACCAGCTTCTTCTTCTCGTCTTCCCTCTGCGGAAGGAACCGGAGAACACATGGCCAGTTTCATCAGTGGTGGGTTTTCAGTTGGAGGTTCTCCTCGTGTGATGAACCTGTGAGCTCGGTGTCGGGGGAACGGACGAAGACGTGGCGTCGCTGGCTTTTCTCATTCAGCCAACGTCACAACTTGATCCACGCTGAGCTGGCTGCAGGAAACTGTCACGCCTGCTCTTGGCTCAAGAACGTCGGGGGGGGGGGGGCATTGCGGAAACACAATAACCTGCATTCAAGCCAATTGCTGGAGTGAAAATGACGGTACAAATGATTCATTGTCCTAGAGGCACAAACATCAACAGCCGTATCACGATTGTCAGCTTTGAGGGATTATGGCAATCTGCAATGTTACAATGCCAATGTTACTGTCTTTCTCTCGATTTTCCCCTGATAAGTAAATCCCCTTTTGCGCTTATCTACTGTGTGTAACGGAGTTCAAATCCGTTTAATGCTTATGTTTGTGCATGAAGAATAGAACGTCAAATGAAAGCTGAAACAAAGTCGGTCCATATATGCGAGAGGGACAGAGGTATTTTGCGTTTTGTCCTCAGACGGAGCGCTTGAGACCTAGTGAGGGACAAACGGAGGCCATAAATCCTTGTTCCTCTCTCGGAATGCATTGTGCCCAGGATGTAAAGCGCCAAATAAAACGCCTCCATAAGAAGGTCTTTTTTTCTTTCCTAAGTATATTTAAATGACACCTTTATGGCTATTTCATCTATCAGCCTCCTCTGTTTCGATGCCTCACGCATAGCCTCCCTCACTCGGAGACACTTTCACCTCCCAGGAGAGAGAAGTGACTCCGACTCGTCCCTGATTGCTGCGTGGGCGCGAGGGAGACGAGGGAAGTGCTGTAAACGTTCGCGCCTTAATGGCAGCCTGCTAAACCTCGAGTGCGTCGCCCCGGAGCCTCTACGCGTTAGCGGGGGTCTAGTTCCTTGAAAATATCTTAAGTTCAGGAGAGAAATTATCTTGGGACAATTGGGCTTTCATGAAATGCATCTACCTCGGGATCGTAATGAACCAGCAATTTGCCGTTTTGGTTGACTTACACTTTTCACAGTCAAAACCCGCTCACAAGGTTTCTCAGGCCGTTGCAGGATTGTCCATTGTCCCTGCTTCTGTGTGTGTGTGTGTGTGTCCCTCTGCCCTGCCATCAACCTGAGCCCAATCCACCTGCACACCTGCCATCCA